CGGTGGTTGGAGTAGTAGTTCATACCCTAATTCGTTAAATTTGCCTGTGGTGACGTCAGAGCTGTGAGTCGGTTTGTTGTAATGGTGCAAAAACACTTTTTCTTCGCCAAATAGAGCAGTTATGTCTGCATTTCGATCACAAATCGGACCAATACTTCGACATATCAGAGTCCCTTGACCATGTTGGCCTTCACGATGGTCATCCCTTTTTCGGCTAATAAAATAGTCTTCACCTTCTTTAGGATAGGTTCATCGGGGGAAGTCAGCTGTTTCGACTTTTCTTTGGTCTCTGGTGTGTACCAGTGGATCCATGGTTCACTGCTGTGAGGTGGTTTCATGGTGGCGCTTGTAGTCCGGAGTGAGGGCACGCGACATCCTACCGATCTTCAATCGACAGACCGTCAATATCGTTTTCGAAGCGCTTTGGCTTGTTTTATCAAAAAACGTCTTGTGACCACGTTGAAAGTCGTAAACCAATTTTTCACGGTTGTCAGCGAAGTAGAAAAGTCATCTCCTCTTTTATTAACCAAGGAGGAGGCATCCCCTCTTTAACCAATCGATATTGCACTTTTTCAATTTTTCGAAAATACAGAGACCAGACCACTTCGATATGCGGTCGAAGCCAAATTACGTGTCCGATTCAGCTGAAAATTTTAAAGTAATCGTCTTTGTGAAATTATATACTAAATTTCTCCTAAGCAAATGTGGCGTCATTGGACTGCCCTCGTATATTTAAGGAAATAGTCAATCCTGAGTTGTGCTAGCTGCTCATAAAACCCATTACCTCTTAGTTTAAGCTTAAGAACTCTATTAAAGATAACTACAATATATAAATATGAAAGGAAGCTCAGAGCAGCTTTAGCAATGACGTAAGTACTTTTAGAGTGTCGTAATCGACTGAATTATAATTATTTATTAAAACTTGAGCTTAAATTCTTAAAATCCTTTGTCGCCAAAGTTCAACTTGAACTAAAACCTACACTATAGCCTCTTTATATCTGCTGTAGGCGAAAAAACAGTGAAATTTGCATACAATCATACTTAACAATAAAGATTTGCATACCGAAACGACTTTGCTGCACAGAAATTGAATTTTAAAAAGTGTCATTCAATGCAAACGAGTCAGTAATAACATCATATATGTCCAACCACAAGCAAAGCATAGACCTCAACTCTGCTGTCGGTGGTGCTAAGTGTGTATTTGAGGATTAATACAGGAAGTCCTCGTTTTTGCGTTAAACCAAATCTGAGCGGTTCGAGACTACGTGTTTCGCATATGGATTCGGAAAATCACAGATAATCCCGGGTGTGCAGGTTTCTCGCTTTTACAACAATCTATCTTGTTGTTTTTTTTTTTTGGTTTTTGGTAGGATGTCGTTACACGATGATAAATGTTAACCGTTTTATGTATGCCACACATATGTACATACATCGTCGGTAGATATTTCGATAAAAAAAAATGAAAACAAAAACAAATGTAAAACATTGGCATCGTTTGTTTGTTTGTTTGCTTCACACTTTGCCTTGACAGCAGCAGAAAACAAAACAATTCATCAATAAATAAAAGCAACCGCCGGTGACAATGTTCATGATACAATGGCTCGAAGTGCTTGCAACAAAGAGAAAATTAAAGGTATGCACATAAATAAAAGTAAAGCAAGAAAAGCAGAAGCCACACATACACAGTGCACAGAAAAGTTGCCGTTAGCGTTGTTGTAACGGTATAACTGGACGATGTTGGCTAGTTGGACCATACCTGTTATGTCCACCTTATCCACCTCTATTGTTACACTTTTCACTTTTTGTTTACGGTTCCGAGTGAGCTGTTTGATGGTATCGATTCGTAAATATTGTTTTGCCATAAACGAATGTAGTTCAATGATAAAACTCATACTCATACATCCATCTAACTGCGATTCTCAGCATCCTTTTCAAATATATTTTCAATTACGTAGCCAAATTAGAGCATAGTTCCACCAAACGCAGCATATCTATTGTTTTTATATATGTAAGTGTATGTCTGATCCTGTCAAACATTTGTATTAAGCTCATATTCTTAGATGAAGAGCTTCATTCAGACGATCTATTGGTTGATAGTACAGGTTCGAGTTAAAAGTTTGAGCGTAAGTGAGCAGTTCATAGCAGATGCTCTGCCAATCCCACCAATCATATAGCAAAACCTTACTGACCGTCAGTCCTCACTTGGTCACCGTATGCGGCGGCTCGCCGCGATTCGATCGCGATCACTTTCGCTTGACGTTGTCGTAAATGACCCTTTTTTCAATACCAGTACCCATCCGCTTGAGAAATCAATCGATTTTGTTTCAGATGGAAATTCGGTCCATTAGGTGTCTGCGTTAAACTTCTGTGGCGCTCATACACAGAGCTTCTTTTTATATCCAGCATTAGTTAATTAAGCAATCGAAACAGGGATTATATGACGATCGGGCTTCACGATTTCTATTATTTTTTATCTATATTTTTGACATTTGATCTTCCAGAACGTGGCGCGGCTTTGACATCAAAATTACCGAAATAGAATCGACGTAACTAAAATTGCGCCTGCTTGACTTATACAGTATCAGGATCATAAGCACTGGTCACATTTTCAGTCGATTGGCTTGCGTTTTTGACTTCATTGAAGAAAAACTGTGTAACACATATTTTCTCTTTGCATGTGTCCATTTTTGACACGTTCCCAAACAATCAAAAAACTGCCTGATATGTTTCTGTAGTACGAGATCACACTTACTACATATTACTAAAGCCATATATTGGAATAATATGGGGATTTCTGTTTTTTAGACCTAATGTCATAGGTCTCCCTATGTATATGGGAACTCGATAATTTCCCTACTTTAAACCAGTACAAATGAAACCAGTGAAAGGATGACTCTTGGTGTAGGATGTAGCAAGCAAAGCTAAAAAATTGCTCCAAAAGCGATGGCCGTGAGAATTCTTTCGTCAAAATTATTTCTGTATATACTTAGAAAATATCTGAGGCCTGTAATATTTCGGAGAATGCTTAATATTTTGAAACAGTAATGTAATAAACGGAAGCATGTTCTAAAAGTTCTTAATCGTATTCTGACACAGAATCACAAATAGTTGTAGTAAAATAACTGCAATATCTTTTTATCTCATACGCTCTTCCAGTTAACTTTTTTAAATTAAATGTCAACTCAGGTTCATGAGCTTGCAGTGAAAAGTCAAAATGAAATCAACAAAAAGGATAAAATGACGCCTCAGTTAACCGCAATTTGCCGACACTAATGAGATTATATAATAGAATCGATTAAATATTTAAGTGAAACAAGTAAATAACTACATACTACCTCATACATACATATACACCTATACACCCAAACACATCTCTATATTATCTACACGTTAAGCGCATTACTTTAAATAAACCACTATCACGAGGCAGTCAGTGACACGCATGCACACAGCCTGTCACAAACTGCAACGCGACAAATATCACTACACTATAAATCCTCAAGGCAAATGCGCAGCTATATGGAATGAAAACTACACGATGTAAATGGGCGCTGCCGGAAAAATTTAAAGACGCGACAGCCCTTTCGAATTTCTTTACTAGCTGAAGAGCAACAAATTGAAGCAAGTTTACTAAGAGCTTGTGAAAATAGTTTAGGGGCACACCTGGTGTGAAATTTAAAATAAAAATCATTTACTTTTCATATTTTAATAGGTTATATCTTTAAAAATAAGATGCTAACATTTTAAGTCGATATCTTATGTAATTTTTGAGTTACAGTCTTCTAAAGTAAATGACCTCTACAAGGGAATAAGCTATGGATATATGAATTGGAGCAATGAATTTTATAAGCATATATATGTATATGTACATACGTATGTATGTCCGATGTAAACTCGAGACCTTCTAATATGTGCTTATAAATTTATAGGCAATTATTGAATGAAATCCAATCTCTCCACGGGAGGTATGAAATCATATATGTGCTGTGCGCAAATTTCTCTGTAGGGATGTTAGTATATGACATCATATATGGCTATTGATGCAATAGACACTTTCTAAAAGAACTGCATACCAACATGTACAAATATGAAGCATACTTTTGCGAGCTGTCAACAGCAAGTGTTTTTCCGCATATTATTATCGCTTTCTTTATTTTTTTTCTTCTCTGCTTAATAATGTGCATAATAGACATAAGCAATTTATAAAGACCAACTGATTCAGCAACGCCCGTATTCACCTCCCGGCGACTTGTTCTCATACGCTTATATGCACAGCTTGCTTACTGAGTTAACTATTATCACGTTTAGTTGTGATGAAGTGGTTATTATGTTGGAGGATGCTTCCGCGGCAGCTATTAATGATGAAATCAGTAACAATACACTGTATATATGAATTTACATTTTTACATATAAAAAAAAAATTTAATCGTTCTAGTAACTTTTTATACCCTAAACTGGGTATTTTTAGTTTTTGGTCCCTCAGTTTTGGAGATAGCAATTTGACAATTAGCACATGTCCTTTTCTCCACAAGAAGCTCCTTATTTTTCGGAACCATCGATTTTGGACCACCATAGGATAAACCTGCCATACAAACTGATTGATCAAACAGAAGTCCATGTATGGAAAACTTGTTTAATAGAGAAGGAATTGTTCAAATCGGACCACTATAACATATAGCTTTCGCAGAAACTGACCGAACCGGAAACTGCTTATTTTTATTTAATGCTTAAAGAACACCACTACAGTCAAGCCAATTTGATTTACTTGAACAGAGTTCTGTGTGAGTTGACTATTCTGTTCTTAGTAAAGTTGTAGACTTCTTGCAATAAATTAATTTAAATGCCAAAAAAGTTGAGCTTATTGAAAATCGAATATACTCCAAACAATAAGAAACATAAAACATAAAAATACATCCTACCGTTCTTTGTATAATGCTGCCAACCTAAACGGTGAACAAAGAACTAGCGGAAACCATTGTGAAGCACGCTTTTCACTATACTTTCGTTTTTATTGTTACAATTTTTATTGAAATAAGCGAGCCTGTTGCTAAAATACATATACAATCAAGAGTAATTTTATTGGTACACACAATTATTACCATAAAAACTGCACATAGAAGCCTAAATATAATATATATGATTCACATTAACAACTTTTTAACTTAAATATCTATTAAAAATTTAAAATTTTGAACATCAGTATAAATACAAACAATTTGCCTAAAATATTATGTATATATTAATTTTACCGAAGACCTCCGTTGTCCAATCTAACCGCCGGTGATACCTTGCATATAGATTTCCTGCACCGTTGGTATGGCGTGCTGAAAGTGCCTGCGTTTCGGTATTGGTTGTATATGAGGTAAACGCGTACCATTAACTGCATTCAAACTTGGTAGGAAATTGTCAAAGTCATCATCGCTGCTTGTAGATAAATTTTCTGAAACTAATGCAGCCCGATTGTTTGCAATAGGCGCTGGTAAATTTACAGCTACATGTTTTCCTCCTTTATTATTTTCTACACTCCTTACTTCATTTGTCGCAGTCGTTGAAGCATTGGCTATTGGCCTTATATCTTGTGACAATTGCTGTGAATTATCGGTTATGTCTGATACAACTTCGTGGGCACCGGGCGATGGCACATTTCCTAAACTAACATTAGTTATGGAATTTACACTGCTATCATCACTAACCACTAGCGAATGTGTTGATGAATCGTTGCTTGTGTTCCCAGCATTTCCGTTGTTAGCATAATTTTCTTTTTCAATACTATCACTTAATTCCTGTGAACGTCCACCCAAATTGTATGGTGCACTTTGCTTAACAAAATCGCGAAGATGTTTTGTACGTGGTGTTTTATATACAATGCGGTCAAAGTCATCCACTGACGACGAAGAGGACACAGTTAGTGAGTGACTTTGCTTTTTCTCTATAGCGCTCTTTAATTTCATATTATACAAATGTGTAAGTACTTTTGCACATTCTCCGCACACACGATATTCTGGACGAAAGTCCTTTCTACGTTTGCGCACAAATTCCACATGCTTTGGATTGGTGATAAGAACGCCGTCGCCTTTAAGTAAGTGCCCATCAGATGATATGGCACACTTCACACCTCGTACTCTAACCATTACTTTAGCAAATAAAACATGCAATATTTTTATTTAAAATCAAATTGGATAAAAATAGTGGATTGCATTTGTTGCGGAATTGCGCCAATAGATTTGAATGTAAACAGCTGCTAAAAAAGTGTTGTTGTTGTTAAAAATCGATAGATAGTGCAGTTTTATCGATAGCATACTACACATTATTTTTTATATTTCATGTATGTGACGAAATTTTTATTGCTTATTTATGAAGGAGATGTTAAAACTGAAATGCTAAATATGAGAATATTTCGTTATTTTTATGCCATTCCAAATATTATTGAGTTAATATCAAAAATATATTGCATCCACAATTTAAACAGTGTTGTGTATGTGCCGTTTCACATTGGGATTCAAAAGAGTCTGATGTTTTTCAAATTTTCTTTTGGTGTCGCTCTGGGCATTCACACGGTCAAAAAGAGTCCAGCAACTCGAGTCTAGTTTTTCTGCATTCCTTTTCACAAAATTTTCGTAAATATTTGTGCGGTTCGATAGCGCAACACTGCGTGCTGCGTATTTCATTTGTATGTTGAGATGATGGTCACACATTTTGCTTGCAATGAATTACCATGAATATGGTAGAACAATATGCATAATACAAGTACCTACCCGCTAAATAGTTTCAAAGAAATACCAAAGACGGGAATTCCCTAATCCACAAGAATGTATTGAATATCCGCAACTAATATTTTCAAGGCCAAATTTATAATAGGAATTTCCTAATCTTTAAGTATTAAAAACTCATAATTTCTTTACTCCGTATTAAAAATTCATAATTTCTTTACTCCATAATCTATATCTTAATTTTCTCCTTATTTACAATTTGTCATAATATTTCTATTATTCTATGCATACGTATTTGCATATTACATACAAAAATAGATAACAGAACTCAAATTTGCGATCGAATTCATTTGAAACCGAGCGCTCTTGCAACCATTCAAAGAATTTGAAAGTGAAAAGGAATGCTGAAAAGGTTAGCAGCGACCCGACCACGAGTGGCACGGTCCCTTCGTCTTTCTTCGTCGTCCCCTCGCCCACAATAAACTGGTATGAGACTCTTTTGAATCCCTGTGTGAAACGGCACTATTCGAACATATATTAATAACCGTGTTGCCACTTTGTGCCCAATATGTCTACTGTAACGAGTGTCAGAAAATATGATTAAATATGTTATTTACCCTCTTATGTGTATTTTCAGGACAAAATTCTGTATGAGAGTTACGAAAAATACTATATATAAAATACAGGTAAAAAAACCAAACTGGTTTCTAATGAATACTGAAGTAGATAATAAATATGTATGTGGAGATCTGTAGAATTTTCCGAACACAAACTGAAAATAAAGAATACACACAAGTGATAACGGAGATCCGCACTTTAATTATACCTAAAACAAAAACGAATACTAAAAATGTAACAACAACCGAAATATCGTAATAGTCTTCCAAGAAACTAACAAAAACAAAGTTCTGTTCAGAAGTCCACAAGACCAGCGATGGAAAAAATTGTGGAAATTTACAGCAGTTACAATAACAAACGGCGACCTTTTCACGCTAGGATTCAGAAAGAGTTTACAACGCTAGTGACGAGTACGAGAAAAAACTTAAAATGCAGCAACAACAAAAATTATATACATAAAAACAACTGTAGCAAAACAACCACTACACACAACGAAATTTCTGCAAAACAACAAAAGCAACAATCAAATCAACGACTGGGACCAATTCGGCGAGAGCAACAGTACTATGCACGACATGCGAGCACGACAGCGGCAACAACACAAAGCCAACAACACGAACAACAACAACAACCACAGCTAACGCCCACTGTCAACTATTTTCGCTTCTCCGCTTTGTATGCACTTGTAGCGACTTCCGCTACAGCAGCCGCGTGCAACATGCGTGAAACATACGCGTGCGTGACTGCGTACGATGAAGATACCGATGTCGTAGCTGATATTAATGACTATATGCCACACAACCATAATACACGACAGCGTTGTGTGCACGACGCAAGCATTTTGCATTTGAGACGTAGCCATAAAAGCCTTACACACTTCAGCAAATACTTGCGCACCACATGCCTCCGGAGTCGTAGCGGTGTTCGACATGATGCCGCCTCAGGTGATGTCAGCGGTTGTGCTCTCTACAGTGCGTTTGGTACTGCTGCCGGAAGCGGAACCACGTATGCTGGTAGTGGCCTCGATACGCGTAGCATTTTCTATTTAACGCTCGTATTTTTCATCTATTGTACCGTAATGATGCGCGCCTCCGTAGCGGCGACAGCCATTGCCAATGCGACAATGCATAGCAATAATAGTAATTGCGTTGCCAATGATGCGCTCTCAGTGGCGGCAGTCACATTGTCGTCATTTTCTGTTGATCCTATTGCGAGCAATGTGACGAGAACTAGTGCAATAGTGATTGACAACAGTGCCCAAGACACAGCGTCAGTTTCAGCGCCTAATACTATGCACAGTTCTATAAAAAAACCATCACATGTCGCTGTTAACTTGACAACTGCTATAGTGAATGCTTCATTGTTGGCAGCAGCTGATGCGCCAGCCGATTTTATGGTGTACGCGAACGACACCAGCCTAGCGAAAGTGCAGCGCGTTGCAAAGCGCGATACCGCTCATGTGCCTGATGATGAGGATGATTCCGCCTATCATGATGACGAATTTGATGAATACGAGGCTTTAATTAACAATAGATCTGGTAAGTACTAAGAGAAAGAGAAAGAAATTACTCCTATACTCCTTAATCACTGAAAATAAGTTGTCCGGACAAAGTACTGTTGACCGCCATTTGTTTACAAATCTTTACTGTCCACAGCTTTGGTTGTCAGAGATCTACTTTGATAAAATTGCTTAAGAATTAGTATAGTCCGGTGGATGATGAAATATTAGAGTCTTATCTATATGTTAATTTCACTTTAAAGTCTGGACATAAATGGACTGAAAAATTTAGAGCTCTGCTTTAATTAGGTCAAGGTTTTCACACGACCTTTTTTAGATAGATTTGTCAGGTAATGATTAAAGGAATATAATTTTTGTTAATAATTCGGTGTAAATTTTTAACAAAAAACCATTTTTCTTTGGGAAGCCGACATTTTGTATTCATCTATTGTTATAGTACTTTTTTTTGGTTTTTAATCGGAAGTCCTCCCGAAGATCGGCTATGGGAACAAGGAAATTAAAGTTTTTTCGAAATGAATCAACGATTATTATAGTAGATTATATTCTGCAAATTCTCATTATTTTTGTTTATTAATTATATATAATGCCTCATCAAAAAAAAATCAAAACGCTTTTTTTCTGACTTGCTAGTGGATAATACCCTTTAAGCAGAGTAAATATACAAATAAGCAAGAAGGCTCTAACCGGTTTCACCTCCTTGAATTAGTACTAATCTCAGTAATGCTTTCTGATACCAATTTTATGGTTGACCCGTAAATTAAGCCATCTCTGTGGATGGGTGTTCACTGTAGCCGGTGGCGGATTAGATTTTCTATTCTGATTTCAACATAGTTTTAATGTTACTACGTAAGTTCTGCTGAATATGAATTAAAATTTCCGATTTTTTTGTTTATTTTGGGTGGATTCGCCACTGGCTCAAAATATATGTATGTATTTATTAACATTTGATTATTTATCAATTCCAGCTAAGGGCAAATATATCGGTGCTCCCTGCTTCAGTAACATGACATGCGAAACTTCATTGATTCATGTCGCCTGTGATAAGGAGACAAAGATTTGCGGCTGTGAAAAAAATTACCCAGTGCAGCTTGGACTGACAAAAGGTTGCGATAAACGTAAGTGAACTCATAGCACCTAATTTATGATGTTTTCTAACTTTTTCGAAACGTTTGCAGCGAAAAAACTGGGCGAGCAGTGTTTCTACGATGAAACCTGTATGTTTAGCGATGAAAATTCCCTTTGTATTCAAGTGCGACACAATGCCATGTGTCAATGTGCGAATGGGTTTCATTCGGTTAGTCACACGAAGCCAACGCGACGTGTTTTTTGCACGAAAGGTGAGATTGTATACGAAAAATATAATTTAAATTTTTATATACTATTATAAAAAAAAGAACGAAATTGTGTAATTTTTTATAAGTATCCTTTATTGCGAGAGGTGTTTTCTACTATCTTAATTGGTATCTAATCAAAGTCTGAAGAACCCCGCGATTTATAAAAGCCGAACTTGAGCTTTTTCGTTTCAAAATATTATTGTTTCATTTATAACAAGTACTTAAATGACAAAAACTTGCCTAAATATTCATTATAATTACTCTGAATAAAGAATTTATGAACCTCTGGAACGCTATTATCTACTACGTTAAAACGAAATGAGTCTCTACCGATTCTTTGGAAAATAAAAACGCCAGTTTGTACTTTTGAATAAAATATTGATATATCGGTTAATTATTATTATTTTCTTCCATTATCTCCGTTAAATATAGACTTAAAGGAATTAAATTCTGATCTGCCTACTCTACTGGGTGTCGCTACGGGCATAGCAGTGCTTACCGGTCTTATCTGTATGGTACTACATCTATTTACCAAAACAAAGTATCCACGTCCCCGAAACTTTGGCGATGCGAATCTACCGCCACCGATAATGTATTCAAGCGATACAGGTAAGTGCGAAATCAACACACTTTAAAAAATAAGTATATATATTTTAACTAAATATTAAACGAAATTTATGCCCCTTTCTTAATAAATCATTTAAATATTATATTAACGATTTTCCCTTCCTTCAAAAATCTTCCTCGATTTCCTTCGTCTTTCTAATTTTCATTGCGTATTGCGCCTTACTAGTTTAAACAATAAATTTATGTCTATCATTGAATCTGATATGCCTACACCGTTTCCAGGTATACCGTTGACAGTACAATCGGGTCGACCATCATCACGTTCCAGTTTACGTTCGAGTGGCTCAATCGGTTCCTATGGCAATCGACGCGCCTCATCCGGTGGCGCTACAGCTGGTGTGCATGGTATGGGTGGTGGTGGCGGTGGCGGCAGTAGCGGTACGAAAGGCATACTCGTCTCTACATCACGTACAGGTGCGGCTAGATCGGCCGCCATATTGCTTATATCGTGTCATTTGACGGAGCTCGCCAAAGAGGCGGCCTTACGCACCACAACGTCGCGTCAAACTTCGGGCGCCGGCTGCAGTGCGAATTCGCGTGACAATCTGGATGAGAATGGGTCAGGTGGTGTCACAACTGCCGGCACAGTCGGTGGCAGTGGTAGTCGTAGCTGCGACAGTACATTGTCAATGACGCGTCATCTGCAGAAGCAGTTGAACCATCAGCGTCATTTATTAAGTCTTGAGCTGTCGCCGGCAAAAACGAAAAATAACGATAGAATTAGAACATTGTTGGGCATTAATGGAATTGATAATTATAGAACCGATGACGATGATGAGTTAAATAGTTTAGATCATAATCACCTGCAAATTGGTGCATTGCCGACACCGGCCAGTGAAACGCCTAGATTTGCGGTAAACATACGCTAACTCTCTCTCTCAAAACATTCACTGTCACTCTCTCTCTATCTGCCTCTATCTATCTCTCTCTCTCTCTCTGTCTATTGGTCATACAATATCTATTGAAATATTACTCTCTCTCTCTCTCCAAAATGAAATACAGACATATACATACCTACACATACAGGCACACATCGAATACACCCGAACACGATCGGCACACAATTGATGTCACGTATGAGAGTCTATTACGAATTAATGGTCATTACTGATGAATATATTGCATTTTACGCACTGTACTATAACTCTTACATGTGTCTTTATATTTTAACGCACAAATTGCGCACCCAATTTCAAACGTGATTTTAAGCGGTTCCTAACGTACCCAAATCCCATAGAATCCCAGCTTTTTCGATGACGTAGTACCTTTAGTTGTTATACCTATGTCTTTTTATATCCCGTAGATCACAGTAGAGGGAATGGCATAGTTATTTACCGAGCAAAACTTTAGCTGGAACCTTTAATAGATTCAGTAAAATTTGAAGACAGGAAGAGCGAATACATATGGGGTAGACAGCAGCCCCTAGCCTAATACAAATTCATTTTCGCTCCGTCGCATAGACTCGCCGGATGTTCGTACGTCACCATCATCTGTGCCGAAATCCACTTCCGAAGGATAAACATTTTTTTGGTTTTAAGTAATTTCTGAGTTCTGTTCAAACTATTTCAAAAAAAAAATTCAATAATAGACTGATTGCATAAGGCAACCCCTATAAAATTCAAAATCTCCTGGGGTCATCAAACCATTTTTAAGTGTATTGACTAGAACCAGATGTATTTACGACCAGATTTTCTTTGTCCAGAACGCGTGAATCTAATTAGGAATATTTAAAGAAATACAAGTACACAATTATTTCAAAAGGAATTTTGTTTACACTACTTAAGGCTATTAATGCTCAATTTCATTAATAGGGACACGATGGCTTAAAATTTATATAAACAAAGGAGCTATAACTTCTTTTTAGATCCTCTGGCTCCTTGAGAAACATTGGGCGACAACGAAATATGTCCATTGATTACGATTTTTTGATAGGACTTTCAAGTTTTTTTCAAGTGTGAGTTTCCCTTTAGTTTGAGCTTAGGCCTCCTGTGCTTCCTGCGTTCGTTTGGGATCCATTCTAGCGCTTTTACAGTACTCAATCGGTGGCTTCCGCAGGGTGCCAGTATAGAGATATGGTTTATCTAGATGTACAACCTTGGTTAGTCATAGTATCCACATGTACTTCTTTCCCAACGTTGTATTCAAAAAACTCCTCAGTCTTTCGAGCTCTTTATATGTCAGAACTTTTAGAGATATTTGGGTGCTTAAAAAAACATACAAGTATTAAATTTTTTTGTCGTCTCTTACCCTCTTAAATGTTCATATTTGATTTAAAAAAAAATTCTCTCTAACTTTTTTTTTTAATATGTATTTTTTTCCAAATCGGCGGTAGCACACCAGCAAGGTGGCTGAAAGTTCATCAATACTATTTAGGTGTGCATAACTCTCTTTTCTCCGAGTTTTGAGCAAGTTGGCGATTTAGTAGCTAGACGTTAGCCAAGACTTAAAGTTAATATTATAGAACCTATTTGGCTTGCTTCTCGGGTCTGAAGCTTGGATCTATTGTAAAATCATCTAAAAAATAGATAAGGATAACTGCTCGTGTCACTCTCGTACTCTGAATGTTTTTAAGATACAAAAGATTTTAACGGGGACAGACTTTACTTTTCTTCGCTAAACTCATTTTCTTTGAGCAACCATAATACCATATTTCGCACAATGTGTTCAGCATTTCCTAGTTTAAAAACAAATCCCTTCAAAAATAAATTCTAATTTCCCTGACATTAAAAATTATAACAATTTGCCTAAAACTCTACACTAATGTGCACAAAAATAGCACACATTTTAAAATTTAAATACGAAATTGAAAAAAAATTGCATAATTTTTGTAAAAATATTGTAAATAAAATTGTATAAAAATTTCGATAAAATTATACAGCTCTGATCCCATGTAAAATTGGAAAACCTCTAAATTAGTTGAATAATTTTTACGAAACTGTTGTAGAAGTAGAAATTTTTAACAAAATTTGAAAAAATTTACACAAATACATTTTTAGGAGAGAACTATCATACACTTCACGAAAAACAACAACAACAAAATTATTACCGCATAATGCATCACACAGCAAAAGCGTTTTGAAAACACCATACAAATTACAACAACAGCAGGTTGCGCGCCGAACAATTAAAAAAGTTTAAAAATTATAATAATTAATTATATTATAATATTAATTGTTAGTATGCATTTATTGTTAATTACTGGTATATGATAATTTATTGGTGTTACATGTGTTGTGTTGTAATTTTTGATTTATTTATTTTTATATGATATTTAAATTTATAAAAAAGAATAGTGAAAATGCATTTCATAAAATTTGAAAAACACAAACATACCATATCAAAAAAGAAATATCACTTTTCCAAACTAACTCAATATACAGGGTTGTATAGCAAATGCATAATTATTAAAAAAAATGTATCGAAAAAAATTTAAATACTTTTTCTTTATTTTTTTGTCGTTTCTAGTTCTTTAGTGCATATGTCTTTTAGTGTATGTGTGTATGTATGTGTATGTATGTACTTAATTTCGACTGCCAAATTGTGTGTAAAAAAAGCCTTTCGTTACTTGAAAGTACTCGTTACTCGTAAGTTCATCGCTTCAGGTTTTATACTTTGTCATATTCCATTTCTGATGTAAAAAAATTTAAATAATGTTAACAATAACATGGCCGTACGTTATGCATATTTTTTCTACATAGAAACTCAAATGTAAAGCAAAGTACAACCAACGTTGCAAAAATATGTCGCGCAAGTGTTAAAACAGAAAAGCAATATGGCGGTGACTATGTTCCTAGCAAGCAAAGTATTTGAAAAAAAATTACGTTTCTTTAATTATTTTATTTATATTTCTTCACTGCAACAATGAATGAATGAAAGCATACTATTTTCTTATATATTTACACCTTTCTTTAAATTTGCATATTTTTGTTTTAATGGCAGTTAATTGATTAATTCTGTGAAAACTGAAAAATTGCGAGAAATTCTAAGATTCTAACAAAAATAAGCGCTAGTTTATATGCAAGTTGACTAAAATCAAAGCACATTAGCAATTGGTACAATTCTCTATCTAAAAATGGCATTTGCAAGAAATATAAGTTTTTTAAACCACAAAAACACTTTTTTTCACAAATTAGCACAAACAACTTTTGAATTTGCCGCTAAGTAGAAAAAAGAATTTTGTATTTTTATATTGTCAAGTGTGTCAGAGAGTACCATTTCGAAAATGTATTAAAAATTTAATTTTTTGAGAAACATTCGCCTAAAAGTAGACTATATTTTATAAAATTAATAACTTTACTATCAATGTGTAGCAAAACAAATTTCATATTTTTAAATCTCACAAGCAGATAGAAGGAGGAAAATTTTCAAAAAAGTTCTAAACTGAATATTTTGTAGTAAAATGTGCCTAAAAGTAGACTAAGATTTCATAAAAATTGTCTTACACTATTCAGATAAAATGCTTCACCTTAAAATGTTTACTTTCCCAGATTTTAATGAATTTAGTATTACTCTTAGTAAGAAAAAATAAATTTTTCAATAAAAGGTAACCTCACTTTTTCTGATAAAGTTGCTAAAATATACTATTATTAACATATATTGCAGCCTAATAGTGAGAAAGACGGTTATTATAAACCGGTTATTGAAAACCGTTTTACACCTTTTATATATGTCAAATATATATAGAAACTATAGATAAAAAATTATATAATTTCGTAATAATTTCAGCCAAAATTATTGCAATAGTGTACAATATATGAGAAAAGTTTTCGAAACTTTTTTTGCATTAATAAATTTTGTTTTTGAGGTTTACCTTCTGACGGCTCTTAATTTATTATATATTTAAAGTCTACTTTCAGGCGATGTGTTACATTTTTCTCTCTGACACAATTTATTGTATTTGCAATTTTTGCTTATATTGCCTATAAATTATCAAGCGTGTAATTTGTTTTTGCTTTTATCGATTTTACGCATTTTTTATATGAAAAAAGAAGTTAATTACTACTTATTTTTGTAAATTTATGTGTTCTCTTCAACCTGAAACTAAATAAACTATCGCTGTGCTCTGTCGCTAATGCTCGAAAGCGCTTACAATCAATAGAAATTTATTTGAAACAAAAGTTTAAGCATTAAAAAAATAATAAAATAAAACTTTATATAAAATTTAATTTAAGATTTAACTTTATAAAAAATAGTCGATTACAACTTATTTTTTATTAAGATTTTTTTCTATACAAATAAACTACTTACATAGCTTCGGAAAAATTTAATTAAAATAATATTTTATTAAAAAAAAATTATATTCAACTTATTAAAAGGAAATTTTTATTAAATAAAATTTTTTTTATATAATATATATCAATTTTTTTAAATCAAAATTTTATTTTATACAAATTTATTCTAATAAAAATAGTATGCGAAAAATATAAACAATTAAATGTTCATATAAATTTCTATCTTTTGCGCTCTGCTCTATGTAACTTGTGTAAAAATAAATTAAGCTTTCTATCCATATGAACGAACTGTACAAATTTCTTCTATCCCTATACCCTTGTAAAGTATTCATACCAACTATTCGGCTTACTTCGTACCTATACCACTTTTAGCGATTCTTAAGTGTAAAATGGGCTAATGAGCAAATTATGCACGCTACGCTTGTACGCCTAAAATTATGCCTAAATTTGTATGAAAACTCTCCACCCTCTTTCTAAATATAGCTGCAGCGTCCCGAAAATAAAGCAAGCTTACAAGCCTGATATTATTTTTTTTTTAAAAGCACTAGTTTTGCATCATTAGAACGCAGAGAAAGAGTATTAGAATAATAAATAAATTTTTTAGTTTCTGGTTTTTTGATTGGCCACGAATTCTTACAATGTTAGATCCAACTAATGATACGAAACTGATGCTAACGATCAATATAATTATATATTATAACCTATATGAATGAATATTATATAATTTAATAAATTTAATCACAATTAAATAATCTCACTGTAAATATTTTTCTCTTTAACAAATACACAATACACTCTTACACACACACTCTCGCTCACACGCTGAAATACAGGTTCTCGAAGACCAAGTCTAGCGTCGGTTCATAGTACTAGCTCGTCTGTGCGTAGTTATAGTATGATGCGTTTCGAGAAGGAGGTCCAACAGAAAGAGATACGTCAGGAGATGAAATTACGTTTGGCACGTCTGCAACAACAGCAACATCTAAATCAAAATAAGCCGCAAATTGTAATTGGCGATACGCTACAACATCACATGAGCGCTGCATCGGCGCTAAGTCGCTTGAGCGGTATGCCAACACCGAGTCCATTAACTCCAAATTCAACAGATGAACTATTACCGTCGGTGGATGAGTTGCAAGAAGTGAGTGTTGGGGTTAAGTATGATTTGTTTTTTTTTCAAGCTCAGCTGGAAGAGATCTGAACTAGTCAGGGCCTTGTAAGATTCGGATGCAAGTGGTTTAGTTTCAAAGATTACTTTTATTAAGATCAGCTACAAAGAATCGGAAGATCTGAACTAGCCAGGGCTTTTATGAGAAAGCAATTATAAAAACTTATGTTCCACTTTCAACTTATTTCAACAATTTTTTTAATTTCTCTCCCACAGTATCCACCGAAAAGTGACGATCTAGCAACAACAATACACAAAATGGCTGCTGATAGCGTGGCCGCTTCTACGCTTACCGCGATAAAGCAAGCAGCAATCGGTACAAGCATCGCCTTAACAACAACCATGGGTGCAACAACAATGGCTACGAGCTCGGCTGCCATTGGTGGTGGCAGTTTGATGACACCGGGTACACCATCCGATGTGGTTGGAGCTGCTGCCTATATTGGACCCTGTAGTTCATCGACTGAAGCACTCTAAAAGAGTGACACTTAAGCGTTACAAAAAGGCGTTACACACACAAATAATCAATTAGAAAAATAAAGAAGAATCTTAGACAGACAGTAGAAATTAACGAATTTGCCAGCAATGAACAGTTAGAGGCTTCAAATCGTAAAAAAATCTACATCTATTTAAGTATAAAATAACCATATAGCAATTAAAACGGTTTTGTACGACGTGTGTACGGCGCATGCGCAAAACTTGAACGGTCAGTTGCGCAAACTTTATATTACTGATGAGTTATAAAATCTAAATTTAAAGAAAATGCTAAATAAAATTAGCTATATGAAGTGCGTTTTGCTTAAACACTTAGACAAAATTAATAAGCTAATTTTTTATGCAGCCGTTGTTGTAGGTTAGGCTAGTTTAGCGTTAATTGTAATTTAAATGCGACTTAATTGTAACGGTTCTATGTATGTATAACATACCAATAGTCATTATAGCGTTCCCCATATTGAATTTATACTAACACATCCGCAAATGTAAATATGTAATGGTTTTAATTTAAGCTAACTGTACTTTAAAGTTGTTGTTATCACTGTAATAGACCGAACTAAAAAGGCGTAAACGCCTAACAATTTTTATTGTGTAAATTTTGATTTGATGAAAACATTACAACGCTTTAACCATGGTTGTCCTTGATCTGCCTCCATTACCCACAAAAGTGGTTTCACTTGAACTCTCAGTTTTCGTATGAAAGCGTAGATACGATGAAAATATTTTTAATACATTTAAACTAAGCAATAGACAGAACAGGAATTGGCACAGCATATATTTATAACATACTTTTTTGATTTTAAGATAATTTCATTCTTTTTTGTTACTTTAGGTTTATGTATTGGTTTCCTTACTTTTAGTTATGTTTTACGTTATATATTCTTTTAGTTAGCCGTAATCATTTACAAAATTGAATGTATGTACGTTATTAATAGGCGATTCATTTCGAAACATTTTGGATTCTTTTGATCCCATAGCCGATCTCCAGAAGGTCCTCTGTAAAAAGGTGTTTGGCGGTGAGGAAGATTTTTCTACTTAGAATTATCTCAAACTCAAATAAAAACTTTAACATTATTATAGATAAAGACGCTTAATGATCGTAGGATTAGTCAAAATTTTATGTTTGGAAATTATTATCAAAAATTTCATACCTTCAATCTTTTCTTGAAAATTATATTGTATATAATATCTAAGAAGGTCGTGTGTTCCTTTTGGAGAAATTTTCCTCGCCGACTCTAAAAAACGCGTTTAAAGTTTTAGGTGTCGAAACTATTTGGTGGATCAATTTCAAATTCTTCGGGAACCTTTTCTAATATATGTATTTACGACATATTTGAAAAAATTTAATTTTTGTGAAATTGATTAATGCATATAACCCTCAAAACTATGCTCTCAGTGCAACTGTCTGAGAAGGTCGATTGTGATAGAGCGTAATTTAAATAAGTATAAAATATTTCTCAGTGTAACTTAATTTTATTATTTTATTAGTTTACGTCCGAAAGTGCAAGGATTAATTATCATCTGTTAGGAAAATATATATAAATAAATTATACTCCATGGTTCATTAATAATATAATTTAATTAAATTAGTTATTGTTTTTTTTTTGTTTAAACTAAAATAATTTAATTAAAAAGTATTCTGGTGCCAGTTTCCATAAATTTAAATAAAATTGACTACTATTAAAAAAATTTGATTTTTCTAATAATATGAGAATTTAGGAAGCATCATACAAAGAAAGATCGAAAGCAGGAAATGCAGTGTTATTGAATTTAATTATATGTATACTTATATAAAAATTTCAATATATATATATAACATAAATATAATGTAGATAAATAAAATGAAATTAGCAAAAATTTAAAAAGACTTTAGTAAATTGAAAATTTTAATTTTTTAGTACCCAAGTACCCAAAATAGCTAAGATCAATAAAATAAGCGGAAAATTACATAAATTAGTGATGACAAATTTACGTATAGAAACAGTTATATAGTTATATTTTGATTATGAAGCGTAATATGTTAAAAATGAAATGCGAAACAAAAACAAAATATATTATGAAAAACCAATAATAAAATTACAATAAAAACAGTATAATTAATTAGATAAAAATGTGTTAAATAGATTTTTGATGTACAAGTATAAAAAGTGTATGCAAATTTACATAAAATAATTAATATACTTATGTGTACGTGAAGTTTCTAACACATATGTATGTATGTTTGTAGCGTAAAAATTTATGGTAGGCATATTTGATAAGGATTTTTTATATACACACACACAAACTTTGTGGTCCTTATAACTATAGATGTATGTATGTGTATGTATACAAATGAAGAAGAAATCGGCAAGTGTCACATATATTTAATATGATTTATAATGCAAATAAAAGAAATGCAACTAATAATATTTGTTATAAGTAGGCAAAAGTTAAAAACGAATATAACTAACTGTACAAGCGTTAAATGTATTTTGACATAAAAAATATTTATTTGTTGTTGTTAAGTTGACATATAGCAAATGAGTTGATTTTGTTACAAGCATTAATTCATTCAACGCTAGGAATTGTTGTGCAATAAGAAATAAAAAAAAAAACTAAAGCGTGTTGAAAAAGTATTAGTTTATAGAAATTACTATTTGAATTACACACAAATATTAGTTTTTTAATTGTAAACACGCAACAAAAACATCACCTGTGTATAAATTGATGTTTAGTATTAGCAAAACAGTATTATTTACAAGAAGAAACATTTTATGAATACAACTTTACTAAAGAAGAACACTTTTCTTATTTATATTTATGTATAAAAATACATTCAAACACAAATATATACAAAAATGACACAAAAACAATAGCAAACTTATAGAAAAATTGCAATTTGTTGACTTATTTGCAATTGCATTCTAAAATACTACAGGGTCTACCAATGAGAACGACGTGATGTTGAAATGAAACACTTAAATTTGGTTAAAATAGGTTCTTTATTTCTTTTTTGTTATGCAGATAATTTTATGCCATGCTCCGTTTGCATATCTGCGCCCATTTACGTAAATTTTCGATGACCCAGCATGCAACATTTCGTATGAAATTTTGGCTTGATTTAACATAGCCCAAGAGAGAATAATCCTGAGGCGTTAAATGGCATAATCTTGTCGGTCATTTCTGAAATTAACGTGTAGCCAAACTTTGCATGCAGTGTCTGGATGTTTAGACGTGAAACTTGAGGCGGCGCACCGTCTTGTTGCAAATAAAAATCGTCCGCGTCGGTTTCATCAAATTCCGGGAAAGAAGTCGGTCAACATCGTGTAATAACGTTCAATAACGACAATTTCCAAACGTTGTACCCAAGTTAAGCGTGACATGATGAAATGGCAAACCTTACTGAACAAGCTGATAAAATTATACACAAATCCGTAAACAAACATGGCAGCCACGAGCTGTCAAAATCACGTCATCCTTATTGGTAGATGCTGTATTTTAGTGAGTTTAACTACTTATTGAACACACTGTACAACATTAATGCATGGTAAAAGCTAACTGGGTCTTTGAAAACATATTATAGTATATATGGGGTCAAAAGTCGATGTTTTACTTGAAAGGTTTCAGAAATTTATGTGGATTTTTAGTTTAGTGATGTCAAAGTTCAATTTTTTCTAGGAACAAACGGCATTCGTTATTTGTTGAATTTTGCAAATACAGACTACTAACAGCTTATAAATGTTATATGATATAGCCTGCAAATATTTTCTTGCTTCCGTTAATACTCACTGTATACATAATACTTGTATGCGTCATTTTAGCAACTTCTGAAAAAACTATTTGAAATTGAAGCCCATTAAACCGGCCCTTATTTACTAAAATATATGAGAAAATATTTCTTTTCTGAATTTTTGCTTGAGGGGTACGCCTAGTGTTACCTAAAAACAAAAATGTATCGACTAGAAGATATTATCCGTACAACGATGAGCGCTAAATAAAATCAAAACTTGAACATATGGCAGCGTTTTGTAAAAGAAAGTTAAATTTTAATAATGATCGGATCATTTGTCTTTAAGTATTGATTGCGGCAAATTCGAAAAATGCTGTTTCGAGAAAATCGCGTTTAAAGATAAACTCATTGCCTATTGACTATTGACGGCTAGACTTTAAAAGGCTGTAATTCAAAAATTATTAAAAATTTGAGTATGTATTTTTGCATATGCAAGAAAAAAAAGATTGTTTCGAATTTTCACACTGGTGTGTGAATTTTCAAATGTAAACTTTTAAAACCGTTTCAAACAAACATTCTGTTTTGGTACCTTTATAGCATAATTCAATATTAGACCCCTGTTACTTATTCGTAATTCCTGGATTTTGTTGTACAGTGTCATATTTTCATATCTATAGTTTTGTAGACCTGTTGGCTTTATTCCTAAAGCAATACTAACTACTCTTCTCTACAGAAATACGAAATTAGCGCATATCTCTACTATAATCATTTTAGTAAACTTTTCACCACCTGAACCGACCCCTATTCGCCATTTGGATAAATTGTTTTCTTATAAACTAACACTTAGTAGCTACTCTATAATATATGTAGAATGTACTGTGTTACATATCAAAATCATTTTGGAACTCGTCGTCCATTTCAATTTACGCTTCACTGAAACGCTTAAAATAAATAATAGATTAAACTATCTATCCATTTGTTCCGTCCTTTGGTTAAAACATACTTTCAACCGTCCTCATCCAAACATATACGGCGCTTTAACATAACATAACATTGCATAACAACTTTGGTCTAATATAACATGATGTAGCATAGCATAACATAACATGACTTACATAACATTACATAACACAGCATAGCATAACATAACATGACATCGCATAACAAAACATAACATGACATAGCATAACATACTAACTTACAGACTCAGTGTGCTTATATATATAACCTAATTTAAGTCGAGAAAACATTATTATTATCCCAAAGATAACTGTTAGTCAAAATTGGCCCTAGGTCCTGATGCCAGCAAATCGCATTGAAACAAATTAAGTGTAGAGTTGAAGTACGGTCATATGTGTCAAGAAAAGCATCAAAAATCGAAAAGTCCGTACTAGATTTTTAGTCATGATCAAGTTAACATATTGACGAGTCCTTCAAAACAGATTAAATGTAGATAAACTGAAAGAGTGAACCCAAGTGTTCTATTAAACCAGTTATACAGCTAATAGTTAGGTGGCATCTTTGTTTCAATGTCATGTTAGTTCATCATATTTTAAATTATGAGCTCAAAGCTGGTTCAAGTTCAATCAAAGGGTATTCTAGGAACCCGAAGCGATATGCTAAAGGAGTATTCATGTCAAATTTCAAGTAAATCGATTTTGATTTTTTAATTTGATTTTTGGAAAATCTTTATCTTAATCTAAGAAAGTTGTTTTGAATATCGTAACTATCGAAAGATGAAAAAAGGGTTTGAAATGCGCCTAAAGATAGGCAATCTTTTTGAAACTCTTCTAAAGAATCATATTTCTCATTTCTCGAACCAAATTTTAGCAATACTGAAAGATAATATTCAAACCTTATCTGGTTTTAGGTATTTGAAATAAATAGATTTTTTAAAATTTCTGGACTACCCTTTGGTTAAAGTTTAAACGAACAGAAAAGTGACGAATCGAAAACGATAAATATTTTTTCTAAAGTGTCATGCATGTCATGTCTTTTTCAATATTCCAAAAATATAGCCAATTTCATTCATCGTCTTACTTTATAACGCACATAAATCAAAGTAATATTTAACAAAAAAATACGCAACATTTTCATACATATAGACGAAGTTATCTCTGTAAAAGACAGTATTATTAGCTACATTTGTCATTATTATATAATATGTCTTGCTGTCTTCGATTCCGCAAACCTTTACGATTGGCGAAACGAACAAAAACTGGCATAAAAAACAAAAATAAATATATATAATACTAGCGAGTAGTTATGCCTGTATAACTTTTGTGAGGTGGACGAATCGAAGACGTTTTATATATTTAGAACATATCCGTATATATTTTTTTGTAGACTGTATGATTTACTTAGTTGTTAAGCAATTATGCTGCTGCTATATAGAACCCAATATTGAGACCTACTTGAACTATACCCATCCTCTATGTATACCTAGTGTTCGTATTATATACAAATCTATTACAAAGTTATACACCAAGTACACACATAACTAACTACCTAACTACGAAATTTAGATGTATACTATACTACTATTAGAATTTGGTATTGTAGTTGAAAGCTACACTCTATAGCCATGCCTAAACCTGCGTTGTGTTAACCCTTGTGAACTACAAATAAATAATTAATATGAAACCATAAAAAACATATGCATACTTACAATAAAAACATTAAAAAATATTTAACAATGTGAAATCAAAGAAATAACTGTAATAGTTAAAGTAAATTAAAGCAAAAGTTTGCAGCAAAGAAATAGAAGCTAACTACTTAAAAATAATAGTTTAATTTTAGATAACTAAATGAACTGGTTAATTATGTATGGTACTTACAAACTTGCATATATACTTATTTATTATATAATAGGAATTTAATACAAACAAAATAGAAATAGTATGAAAAGAAATTTGTAGAAATTTTGCAGACCCCAAACCAAACAGAAATATAAATCAAACTTAATACTTATTGCTAAGAAAAATCTACTACTACAAATATGATGAAATTGGTTTTCGAAAAGATTACATTAACATTAACTAAGTAAATAAAACAGTTAAAACAACTATAGAACTAGAAAAACTTAAATTTAGTGCGACCTATTATACATAACATATTTAGCTCTTAACTTGCTGAAGACATATTTTTTGTATTCATATTTCGCATATTGCAACGAAATTTTTATGCTAAATAGTTTCATAATATTTAATGTTATGTTCGCAATGAGTTGCTAAACAAAATATGGTTTTGACATAAACATTTTAAGTTCTTCTCTTCTTTTAGGCCAAAATTGTGTGCACAGGCCCTATGCTTCCCTTAGGCACTATAGGGAAATACATACGACTATACGTATACCTATACGAGTGTGGGTAACATGTTCCCATCTTTCTCGGAATTCGTGGATTTCATCCTAAAAGCATTAAGCCGGCTTTTCAGCTAAAAATAAATAAAGAGAATTTTCGATACATTCTCTGATTCTGATGTGCACCATAGTCCAGTGAGGGCGTTTTGGAACGACCGAAACAAATCGTAGTTAGAAGGGGAAACGTCTGGGCTATAAGCTAATACAGCTGAGGCAAAGGAAATTGTTTTTAACCGGTCTTGCAAGAAAAGGTCGGTTGCCATGATTGAAAACTATCGTTGCCTAACTATTATTGCCGGTAGTGTTCCCCATTAATGTTTTCACCTGGTTTTAGAAGCTAATAATACAGCCCGCACTTTGGGTCGCTCCAAATATAAAGCATTACCTTGGTGTCATGGATATTCCGCTTTGCCGTTGATTTGGCATGATCGAGTGTCAAAACGGCAATTACTATAAGAGATTATATAGTGTCACCCTGTCAACAATTTCAAAAAATATTTTCTAAAAACATACGAATTTCGAATACTAACCAACATCCAAAAAGTATGCAGCCATTTTCGAACTTAGCGTGCTAAAACAGTGTGCTTAAGATTTTCTGAAGTTATATAGTGCTAAAATTGTATATTTTTTGCATTAAATCACCAAAGTTAAACATTTGAAATTTAATTTTATTTAATTTATTTTTTCAATGCCATTTATTCAAAAATATACATAAAACTACAAAATAGTTGAAAGATATGTTCAAGCAACGCCTAAAACTATGCAATAAAAGCTGTAAAATAATAAACAACCACGTAATAAACCACAAACAATTGAAATTTGAAATTTATTATCCTTTCGCCAAAATTTTCGAACAAGTTATGTAGTTTTTGTTGTTAAAAATTTATGAATAGGTATGTAAAATAGATTATAATAAAATACGAATTGAAGCAGCAGACAACAAGAAGTATAAGAAAATGTTATTTAGAAAAATAAAGCAACGCCAAAAAATATATATGACATATCGCCTTTTAATTTTTCAAACAGCAGCAAAGCTGTCGCTCAGTCCACCTCTTCTATAGTTGGACCACCAGCTGCGCCGGAAGAGCCACCAGCACCCGGACCGCCAGCATTTGGCGGTGGTGGTGGCACGCCACCTTGATACAAGCGCGTTATAATCGGGCTACAAATTTTCTCCAATTCTTTTTGTCTATACTCGAACTCATCCTTCTCCGCCTGTTGATTACTATCCAACCAGCTGATCGTCTCATCACACTTCTGCAATATTAACTGACGATCGTTGTCCGAAATTTTAGCGCGTATATTCTCATCATCCATTGTAGACTTCATCTGGAAGCAGTAGGACTCGAGCGCGTTTTTGGCATTAATTCGTTCACGCTGCTTCTCATCTTCGTTGCGATACTGCTCGGCCTCGTTTACCATGCGCTCGATATCGTCTTTGCTCAGACGACCCTTGTCGTTAGTTATAGTGATTCTATTTTCTTTACCTGTAGATTTTTCTACCGCGGTCACATTTAAAATGCCATTCGCATCAATGTCGAAAGTCACTTCGATCTGCGGTATACCACGTGGTGCCGGCGGTATGCCGCTCAGCTCGAATTTACCAAGTATATTATTGTCTTTAGTCATAGCACGTTCACCCTCGAATACCTGTATCAACACGCCCGGCTGGTTATCTGAGTAGGTAGTGAAGACCTGGGTTTGCTTCGTTGGTATAGTGGTATTACGTTTGATCAGCACCGTCATAACGCCGCCTGCAGTCTCGATACCCAGCGATAGCGGTGTTACATCGAGCAGTAAAAGATCTTGCACAGCTTCGGACTTGTCGCCACAGAGTATGGCGGCCTGTACTGCAGCACCATAAGCAACGGCCTCATCCGGATTAATAGATTTGTTAAGCTCCTTACCATTGAAGAAGTCCTGCAGTAACTTTTGTACCTTGGGTATACGCGTCGAACCGCCAACCAAAACAATATCGTGTATCTGCCCTTTATCCATTTTAGCGTCACGCAAAGCTTTCGCCACCGGCTCCATAGTACCCCTGAAGAGGTCACCGTTCAATTCCTCGAAACGTGCGCGTGTAATTGATGTGTAGAAGTCTATACCCTCATATAAAGAGTCAATTTCAATGCTAGCCTGCGAAGAGGCTGAGAGCGTGCGCTTGGCGCGTTCACATGCGGTGCGCAAACGTCTTAAAGCGCGTTTATTCTGCGCCAAGTCCTTCTTGTACTTTCGTTGAAACTCTTGTACAAAATGATTCACCATGCGATTGTCAAAATCCTCGCCGCCTAAATGTGTGTCGCCCGCTGTAGATTTTACCTCAAAGATGCCATCCTCAATTGTGAGTATGGACACATCAAAAGTGCCGCCGCCCAAATCAAAAATGAGCACATTACGTTCACTTGTGCCCTTCTTGTCCAGTCCATAAGCGATGGCTGCAGCTGTTGGTTCATTAATGATGCGCAGCACATTCAAACCGGCAATAGCGCCAGCATCTTTGGTGGCTTGACGTTGTGAATCATTAAAATAGGCTGGCACAGTGACCACAGCATCCGTTACAGGCTTGCCGAGATACGCTTCGGCGGTCTCCTTCATTTTCGTTAATACCATGGAAGAGACTTCTTCCGGAAAGAAACTTTTCTTTTCTCCCTTATATTCGATGCGCATTTTTGGCTTGCCATTGTCATTGAAGACCTCGAACGGCCAATGCTTCATGTCACTCTGCACAGTCATATCATCAAACTTACGGCCTATCAGACGTTTAGCATCTACATTTTGGAATATAAGAGAGGAGAAGTTGTGGTATCTTGGGGATATTATATGTATGCATGAAAGGTTAAGTGCAAATATATAGTAATTGAATATCAGTCTTTAGTTAAATGAAGATTTAATGATAGTGGAGGTGCAGGTGGAAATAGAAACGACAGACCTGATACATTTTATGGCAGTCTGAATATTTTATTACATACATACATTTAACTTTAGTACAAAGAAAGTATTATATAGAATTTAATATTATGGCAGACAACAAAAATTATTTAAAATTATAATATATTAGTCACATGACCAGGCAGAATATATATAGTTACTCAAACTTGGAAGTGCAAGAACTCTCTGTATTACAGGACTGAAATGAGAGCACAAAAAATGGTTTTAGATTAGAACCAACACGGACTCAAGAATTAAAAGTATAAGGAAAGATTAAAATACATTGTACTAAAAAGAATAGAATGTGAAAATATTTATGAAGTTTATTTAATTTTGAACAGAAATATTGAGTAAGAAATAGAGAAATATAAAAGCACCAGTGCCATTTCACACAACTTTTGAGAAAGTGAGGATATTAGGGTTTAACGAAACTCACATATACTAGTGTCCCCCATATCTTAAGTCAGCTTAAAACGATTGTAAGAAACTCCTTCTTATTACAAATGCATTCTTTAACCAAGGTGCAATCACCACTAAATGGTAGTCAACGAACTCGACTAAGGCAGCCGGTATAGTCTTACAAACATCATTCATACCTAAAATATGTAATTTATGGGATGTGCGTTTGTTTGTTCCAAACAGTCAGTCTAAAGTTAAAAATGCTTAACAGGGTTGCCACGATAACATTCTAGCATGAATCGTTTACTTAATACAAAACCGTTCCCCTAAGGAACAAATTGATGTAGTTAGTGGGATTTTATACAGGTCATTGCATGCTAAGGTGGCATCTGAACTGCTGGGTTACTGTTCCAAGGATCTGAGCCATTTCCGCGACCAAGGGCCAGAGACACCAAAGCCACTTGATTGTTCTGCAAAAAAGAAGAAAAAGTCAGGCTATCGGGCAAAAGAATCCGGTAAGAGAACACGTCATAACCATTGAGACAGGAGCTTTATTAAGCATCTTTGATTGAACTGGGTTAAATGAAGACCACCTTACTCAACTTTCAATCTATCTATCTAAGGTTTGAAATTGAATGCAGATTCCAACAAAATCATGTTTCTGCTCTATCGTACTTTGGATATATTTCGGTTACGAAAAAATCTTTCAGAATCCGATATCCATACTAAGCACGTCATAGGAACTTAATATTTTCCTCCTCATTCAGAAATTTAGTTCTTTAGTTCTAGTTATCGAAGTCACATAGCCATTTATGAATATATAGGAAAATTGCAATTATACCAGGCTTTAAGATCTACATTGAGGTGTAAAATTATATCAATATATATAATATACAAATTCAATATTTGGACATGCGAAACAGTGCGAAGAGGCGAAAAGTTCGTTGAGGCAACTGCAACGACTCATACGTGACGACAGAATAAGATGTAACGAGTAAATAGAAATCGAACACACATCTATGTATGAAATGTAGTTTTTTGAAAGATCGAGGCCAGAGTAAATGTGCAAAATTCCCATTGTAGGGCAACTACTGGCTATACAGACGACATATGTAAACTAAACTGCACAAAGTAGCATGTGGCACAGTCATAAACATAGGACACGTTGTTTGAAACACAACAATTTCTGAATCAATGAAATTTAAAATGCAACTAAAATTAGCAACACAACACATGTAAAATAAAAATGGACGTGGCAACAAAGTAAAATTTAATTGAATGAGCTAGTGAGAAAACAAACAAACTGAAAGACATTGGCCGCCGCAACTGTAAACTTTGGCACGCTATGAACGGGACGAATTGGCCGATGGATTTGCCAAAAAATTAAGCGACAATACGTCAAATATATTTAAGACCCGAAAAATGATAAATAGAAGGCGACAAATGCACAATGTGGAGTGGCTAAATATGTACATACCGATATAATCATATTGTAACCACGAGACAATGCCGCTGAAATGCAAACAAACTTATACAGAGCGTTCAAAAAACAATAGCAAAGAAGCCTATATAGCCAGAAACTGGTGTCAGATTTAAAATGCCGATTGTTCCCAAAAATAATATTTGGTAACTCTTCAATGCCATAACATCTTTTTTAGAATTGAAATAAAGGAATGGCTTTCACTAGTTTAAGGTTTTTTGAGAAAAGTGTTACGGTTCAAAATACAGATGTGAGAGAATCTTAACTAAAGTCCCGGTGGAGAAGATCGCCCTAAGTCTAGACTCATCGAACGTTGGAAAATTGTGCTAATTTTTAAAAGAGACTGCATTGCGACTACCTTTTAATTGGGCGAGTGTAAATTTTCATGTGGCGTGCATGATTTATAACGACTTAAATGCAATGATAGTGGGCGGAAGATGCACTACGACACAGTTATTAGTGTTTAATGGATTGTTGTTGTGTTGCGCTGTTATAACTTCTTTCTTTGTTTCAAACTCACCAAAGATAGTATTGTTCGGGTTCATGGCAACTTGATTTTTGGCCGCATCGCCAATTAGTCGCTCCGTATCGGTGAAGGCCACATAGGATGGAGTCACCCGATTGCCCTGGTCATTGGCGATAATGTCCACTTTGCCATGTTGAAATACACCGACGCATGAATATGTCGTGCCAAGATCAATGCCGACAGCAGGCGCTTTAGCCATATTGCAAAAACTCTGCTCTTGTTGCTGCGCTATAGTTTTTTTTCCGTTGTTATTATGGTACTAGTTGTGTTAGCTGCTTTAATTATAGCGTGTGCGCGTTCGATTGACAATATACATATGGGTGTGTGGCGACAATTTTGTTGGCGTCGGCGGGAGCATTGACGAGTGCACAGCCAAACAAAATGTGCATGTGAATGTACCAAATTTAGTTGCACCAAATTATGCATCAAGAATGCGCGAATTGCATAAGTATTAATAGGATTTTGCATTTTCACGAAAATTCCACACAAACTTACCGCTTTTAGGAAGGCAGCTACAAATTGGTTGTCAATTATATTTAGCTAAACCTAAATCTAGACGCGCTTTTAGAATGCGTAACGGTATAGGTATAGTGAAATGATAAGGAATAGCAGGACGAAGGTTAGCACTCGCAGAAATTCTAGGGTTTTCTCTCTTTGCAGCTCCACTGCGGCGGCGTTCGCATATGCGCTACAACGGCACGAACGCGTAGAAAATTACCAAAAATTTTAATTTGCAAAAATTTGTCACAAGGTTAATTAACGAAATTCAATGTTTTTTGCTTACACTCAACACTTTCTTTATTAATAATACGCTCTTGAATTTCAATTTTTGTATTTCTGTTTGCGTTTTTTTTAATTGTTTTGGTATTTAAAATTTCTGAAATGCTATCTATTTCGGTTTGCCGTCTGACTTTTTTACACGAATCAAATGCTTACGTAAAAAAGTGTTGTGAACTCGTGCATTGCTCGAAAGTGAATGAGCTGAAATGATCACATTTTGTATTTTCTAAATATTTTCGATATGTTTAGCAAACGCTGTTAAACGATTCTATGCTGTATTCGGCGAATTTTCTCGATCAGTTTGTTAGAATTGAGTAGCATTTTTCAAACTCTCTGAATCTCTTTTATTATGCTCTTTTTTTCATAGCTTCTCCGCATTTCTCTACTAAAGGGTGAGGGTAATTGAGCAATCAGTAGTAGAGTGCCACCAGAACCACCTAGAGGCCTCTCGTATAATTAACCTTTTGCTGAAAATTAAAGCGAAAATTGTGTATACCGTTAAAGAGTTCAACTTTTACCAAGTGCGAAATTTTGTAAAACACTAATATATATATTTTATTGTAAAAGTTAATTATTAATTTTTATTGATGCGTTTAGTAATGCAAATGTTGTATTATTCCATAATTTCATCATTATCTATTCTTTTCATTTCTTTAACTGTAAAAGTTTTGTATTTTGTTTTCACCAAGTGAATACTTTTTCGACCGTTTACTATATATTATTTTTGTTCATTTAATATTAAAATATTAATTTGCTTATATTTTTACCAAATTATACTTCTAAAACGTATCTTGTGTTATTAACTGAAAATTTTATTTTTCAGACTGTTTGCATACTCCTGTTTACATTTAATGCGAAAATTTATTAATAAATTCTTATTAAAATATTTTTTATTTTCTTAAATGTTTCATTGTTTATTTGTGTAGGTATTTTCATTGTTAATTTAGAATTCAATTCCACTACGGGTAGTGTTTGTTGCTGTTTGCAAATATTTATTAGGATGCCTCTATGAAATATCGTATTATGATAATTACTATGTATATAGGTATGTATGTATTTGTGTATTTATGTGTTGCTGATTTCTGTATGTACCGTATGATAGCATTTGTAAATATTTATTTAGTATGTTAATAATTAACTTTGAAGAAGTATATTAACACCTGTTTAATAAAAATATGCATATGTATTAATTTTTGAGAAAAATATAGAACATATGAGAAAAATATAAATATATATATTTTTTCAGTGTTGAAGTAAAATACAACTGCATATGAAATAAGTGGTAGTTAAACATACAAATTTAAAAAAAAAATTAATATTTTAAATTATAGCAAAAGAGAAAAAATATGAAAAAAAACTTAACCGCCATAGACCATAAAATTATCTCTCAAAATCGTTCACGCTAACAAATCTATACAATACAAACTTTGTTTGTGATTTTATTTAAATATGTAAATAAATTATTTTGAAATTTGCACTTTTATAATTTAAATAATTGGGAAATATTTGCATACAAATTGTACAAAAAAATAAGCTGACGAAGCTCCATCGTTTTTGTTGATAAACTAGCAATATTATTTTCGTTAACTTGGTATTTATATAACACTTACCGCACTTTGCTTAAAATCATTGCAATAATATTTAAAAGAAGCGGAAGTTCATATCACAACAGACTTTCTGTAACTCACAAGCGCATATTACACACAACTGCTTGCAGCATTGCATTAACAAAATTTCCACAAGTTATTGCACTTTACACCTCGTTTTCTTATTCAACGACCGCCATGTTGACATGGTGAATGTACAACGTACATTTATTTTGGCTTTATTATTAATAACATTCAATATAAGAGCAAATCTTAATAATGTATCAATAAACTAACTAATTAGCAAAACAAAAGTACTGTTATTAATTAAAAATTAACATTGTAAACTATTTTAATAACGACTTCGAAGAGCAGCACTTGATCGAATCACACGCAACGACAACTATGCAAAAGTTCCGGCGGATCATCGGCAAACACGTCGTGCACACTGTATTCGTTAGCGAAGTGTTTCAAAATTTGCTACTTATGTGAAGTGTGCACTGAACATATCTTTTTCAAAGCAGCAGTCTGCACGGAAGTGGTTATTTTGAAAATTAAATGTGTGTAAATAAAAATGGTGAATTTCAAATTTTCAACTGTTTCTAACTTATTTGTTTTCGTGATTATGTGTATGGCTACTTGGTACTATATTTTTTATTTACTATAAAGCTATACGAAAAACACAAACTTAATTATTTACTCCTTCAAACTAAGTAACTTTTAATTTATAAATTACATGTATTTATTTGCCATGTGCTTATTTAAATTTTCTGTATGATCTACGAATTCCGCTGGAATATGCCGTTGTTATGTATGAAAAAGTATGCATAAGACTATGTCAGTTAAATATGTTTATGGGAGCTTCATTTCATTAATTTAATTTCTGGTTTAGTTTGTTGTAACACGCTCAAACCAAAACTTAAGTGCTGTGGATTGAACTAAGTTTCATATCTGCTCAACTTAGCAATGTTTTTTCATACAAAATTCTTTCTTCATTAACTCTTTACCGGGTAGCAGTATGAAAACTTAGGCTGTATGAAATTTAGCGCCACCTGTTGGCGTGTTTACCAAAAACTAGTTCCGTCACTGTTGCTATTGACAGTAGAAAAATTTGGAGTCTGATTGTAACAACGATAATAGCAACAATTTGAACAGTCGCGTTTAGTGAGTAGCCGAATTTTGATTTGAGGAATATAAGTTTTGGTTTGAACATATCCTTAGCGTTGACTAAACACTTATTTAATGGCTTAATATATATGTTTTATATATAATTCAGCGTGCAATTTTGAAAGTCTCTAAACTTTGCTCAGCTTGTATTATAAAATTAACACCCATTGTGGCGATTATATCAAATATCATTTAGCAAATTGTGTCAAGTCCCATTTTTATTGATCTAAAGATTTTCATGTTCTCTCTTATGTACTCACAATTTGTTTATGTAAACTTTTTTGTTTCGAAAGTGATGTGTTTTCTTCTTAATTATTATTTGTATTTTATATTTTTTCCTTTATGTTACGCAATTATCGTTAAGTTTTTAGTTTATTAAATTGTTTATGAAAAATAAGTCAGTCAGTTAGGCATATGTGGATTCGAAAATTCATTTGAGTATATACTATTTTTAATAAATGTATACGTGTTGATGTATATATATATGCAAATATGAGTGTCTGTAAGTCGTTAGGGTATCCTACATTTTATTTTTTGGTATTATAGTTTCGTAATTTTTTTTATTTAAAATGTTTGCTTTTCATTGTATACTATTTTCAGAATTTGGTATTAATGCTAATTTGGAGTTATTAAATTTCATTTATTTTCCCATAGAAAACTTACTTTAACAAACTTTTTTTAAGTTTCCACTAATTTACTACCAATGTTTAGTTTTTTTTACTCAAAGGTATGTATATTTTATTTTCTTCGCTGACAATACAATAGCTATTACAATTTTTCAATTGTCATGCTACGCTTTTAACTTTATTTAATTTAATTTTCATTTTCACTTTTGTCATTTAATATTAAAAAATCTTAATAATGTCTACTTTATAAGTCGCATATTATTTTATTTTAGTTTATTTATTTTTTTATTTTTGTGTATGTAAATTCTTAACGCTTAAATAATAATATGAGAAATTGTAAGTCTCTCTCGATCATGTCTGCAGTCATATTGACTAACGCCAACTTTAGTTTGCGCTCTCTGCTCCACCATTGAATACAACAACTACTATGTGCGTATTTGCGTTCGTTTCAGCTACGTAATCAGTCAACAAGTGAAACGAATATGGTCACATTTCAAACGAATTCCTCCTGCTCCAGCCATGGATGATTTAGACATTCGGCCGCTGAGGCGCGTATAACGGGATTGTATTCGAGCATCGGTAGTAAAAAATCTGAGAATTTCTTCGCCTCTATAGGATCCCAGTCATATTTTTCAATAAGCACATTTAATAGACTCCACGGTTTCAATTTCGTAATGTTACGCAAGCTGCCTACAATTTGCACAAAAATAATCCAAATGAAAATCAATAATCGTTTTAATTATTATAATTTTTAATTTACCATAACTGGTGAAGAATTTTAATCCATGTCTGCCTCGAAATATCACGGAAGGCGGTATTGCGCCTAATAATTCAATTATGTGCGCCAAATGATCTTCATCACGTGAGTAAGTCTCGCCCATATGCGGATCAAAGAGATAATCACCGGTCGCCAGTTCGAAGGCAAGACAAGCTGTACTCCAAATATCAGCTGAGAACGTGTATGGTGCGCCAAGCAATACCTCTATGGAGCGATACTGTCGCGTTTGTATATCGTCAGTGAAATGATGATACTGCGTATAAGTAATTAAATAAAATACAAGTGATAATTTATTCTTAATAGCAACAAAAACAAGAAAAAACGGCAACATCGAAGCTATAAAAACTCTTTCAGGTGATATTATCACAGCATAAAAGGGTATAAACAAATTTTTGCTTTGATTTTGATCGGTTAGTTTATATGACAGCTATAAGCTTTGGTGGTTCGATCTGAACAATTTCTTCGGAAATTGCAGTCTTTTTTGGGACAATAATTTGTGCCAATTTTATAAAAGATATCTTGTCAAATAAAGTATTTTTATGTATACTATAGTGATCCGATATCGGCCACTCCGACAAATGAGAAACTTTTTGGGTGAGCCATATCTCAAAACTTCAGGGACGAATAAGATAAACCAATGTTCTAATGGGCTGCGTAATTCACAAGCCGTCACTACACATATGAAACATATATGTACATATATATATTTTAAGTTTTAAAATTTATTCAAACTTACGTCATAGCAGGCATTTCCCAAATCAGCAATTTTAACGCGTACATTGGTGTTGTTGATCAACGCTTGTATGGCATTTGTATAGGACTGGGTCTAGGAAGTAAGAAGTAAAAGTTAGTTAAATAGGTTCTAATTTCTTTAGATTTATAGCAAACGCATAATAAAGAATTGAGTAAAAGTATGTTCAGAAATAATAGCGGACAGTGCAGAAAAAAATAAATTAAATTATATTCAATGCTATGAAAATGTAAGAAATATATGCGCAAATACATATAAAACTTCTCGTAACTATTTTATAATATTTAAAAAATATGTGTCGTAGTTTAGTGACACATGATCATCGTTAAAACTGTCAACTATTTTCTTAAATATATATAAATCCATAAGAGTGTTATCTCTGTCAACTGTACAAAATCTTATAGCATGTCAAATTCAAAAAATTAGGCGACATTATTTAGATAACGAGCTTGCGCCAGCGTTTACAAGGATTTTTATGACAAGAGTAAATTTGGTTTGGAAATGACATGAGGAGCAGTGCCAGGCAAGTTCTGAAACTAAAAATACAAATAATACATATGCATACTCATAACTTAAGTATACATAAGCAATTGCAAACTAGTAAATCTTAAAACTACTTCAAATAAAGTTAATTAACATAATATTAAAAAAAAAAAATTTTTTAATGTTCTCAAAACGCAAAATTTCAAAAAGTTGCTGAGAATTATTGAAAGTATATGAACATAATATTTACTTTATGTATAAATACGATAGTAATTGGCTAGTGTAAATTACTGTTTCAAATATAATAGCATGTTTCCACAAAGAATAATATTTTTCTATGTTTTACGAGCATTAAAAAAACGTATTTGCGTCAAACATTTGTAGATAACAAGTTTTACAAGCGTGTACTTAAAATTTTAAAGTTGTCGTAGTGAATAGATTTTTTGTTTAGAACAAAAACGTTAAATTCATTAAACCTGGTGGAACTTTTTCTCAAAAACGTTTTTAAGAGATGGTTTTTAATGATGTGAAAAATATTTTACAAAAGTAAGAGAAATAGATTTTTTTATGCAATGTATTAAATATAAAAGCAACTCTACTCGCAATACTACTAATAGAATTGTTATCATTTAATTTTTAAAAATTTCTTGATTTCTTTGCTTGATTACTTTTTAAAAGTGTGAAACGTCGGAGATCCTATTAGGTATATACAAGTATGTATACTCGTATAAACGATCAGTGTGACGAATTTGTCTATCTCTTCGTCTGTCTATCAGTATATATACGAACTAGTTCCTCAGTTTTTGATATCGATCTGAGATTTTGCTCATTGGTCGGAACGGCTGATATCGGACCACTATAACACATAGCTGGCATACAAACTGACCGATCAAAGTTCTTGTAGGGAATTTTTGTATATGTGAAGGGTATTATAACTTCAGTGCAGTCGAAATTAACATTTTTCTTGTTTTTATTTAAAGATAGAAAGAGAAATTATTATAGAAATACAAATAAAATACTTTTGGTTGAGGAATGGTAAGAGTTTTAAATATTTTTACAGTAAACATTTCGTTTAAAATATTTTCTAACTAATTACTATGCAATAGTAATAAATTTTAAGGTCTTAGCAATGCAATGCAGCAAGTGCACTTTATTACTTTTTTATCGAAAGCGTTCTACTTCGCTTTAACTATTTTTTTTTAATAAGGCAACCTAAGAACACTTTAATACTTGTAAATAATAAAAAAAAAATAAACGAACCAATTAGTAAACATGTCAATATCAAATTGATTATTTAACCAAAAAATTTTGGTCCCTAGTATCCTTTTTTAATAAATTATTTACTATTTTTCACCAGATTATTGTTTTTATGCGGCATTTTTCGGATAATTTAATTTTTATATGATTATTTCTTATTTTGGCTTAAAGAAAAAATGCAAATTCGATATAAAAAGCCAAATCTGCAGAAGCTACTATATATTGCTTGAATTTAAGCCTAATTGCTATTAAAGCAATTCGCACTATTTGTGCACGCAACATTAGGAATTGCTGTCCTTATAGCAGCTGAAGACTTTTATCGATATACATAAGTAAACAATCACTAGTTTTTTAAATATCAATAGAGTGAAGAAAAAAATTGAATGTTTTATCAAAACAAGTATTATTCCTAACTAATAAAGAAATGTATAAGTATTTTTTACGAAACCAATTAATTATAATAGAAGCAATATAAATACAAATTGCGCAAATGTCACTAAGTATAAAATCACTGATATAATAAGGAACTAAATAAACATGGTGGCATACAAAGAAATTTGAACAATGCATTTCCGTTAAGCTAATAGAAAACTGACTCTATAAAAGGACTACAAAGTGAAAGGTTAAGGTACGTTGTAGCACAAACAAATACAATTACTTAGAAATGACGTATGTATTTAGATACTTTAGCAAACTATGTACTTAAGTGCTTTATACAGATAGAGAACAATTCGCTTTTTTTTTGTTTTTGATCAGCACAAAACTATAAATGCACAGCATAAGTACAATTTATTTAAAGTATGTATGTAAACACAATAATACACACATAGGTGTACAATTTGAGAGCAGAGTTACCTTTTCGGTAGCGGCATTTTTGCTATTTTTAACATCTTCGTTGTTATTTTGTGATGTTGCTTGCTGTTGTTGTATTAATGGTGATTGTGCTAGTGTTGGTAAAGCTAGTGAAGGTGCTTGTGATGTGAGTGATGGTAGTATCTGTTGTTGTTGCTGTTGTAGTTGTTGTTGATTGTGTGGTGCTTGTGCTTGGGTGTTTAGAGTAATTTGAGACGACGCATTATTAACATCGAGATTTTCACTTTTTGTACTTAATAAACTTAATATTTCGATGCCATTGATTGCTTCGGTGGTTGTTGTTGTTGTTGTAGTAGTTGTTGTTGTTGTTATGCTTGTCATGTCACCAATATTGCCGTCACCATCGATCGACTGTAAAAATATATATGAAAAACGAAAAGAAAAAACGGAACAAACGAATTGGACACAAACGATTGCAGGTGATTGCAGTTGTGAGAGTGCTGGTGATGATGGATGGTGGCGAATGATATTGGGCGCATATTATTATTAGATGAGTGGAAAATAACTACTTAGCATATGTATGTATTTAAATCATTTATTGTATGGGGGCGTTATTGAAAGCTAGTGCGTAATTATGCATGATAGGGTGTGTTCCGTTTCCGGTTGAAGCTAAAATGTAATGACACTATTATGCGTAGGGAAATGTAATTGATTTTGATAGCTGCTGTTAGCTGGTGCAATTATGAGTAACAAAATTATAAAAAAAAATCATAGAAATTTAAAAAAAAGTTGCTGGGAATGTGTGGGTATGGTTCATTGTTGTTGCACGATTGTGTTTGTTACTTTGTAAGCGTTATTAAACATACAGTTTAACAAACGTGTTATCTATTGCTCATTGTAAATAAGTGTATATTTATTTTTTTCAATTCGTGTAACTTAAACCCATACTTAATTACTTTAGATTGTAAACAACTTGCACAACTTACCTTGGCAGTGATTTTCTTCTCGGCTCTATACCGATTATTTATATTGCCCGTTGTTGCATAAGGTGTACCACCGCCTATTGAAGGGCTCTCTGTACCAGCGCGTCCGCCACCTACACCATCATTTTCGCCTATCAAAGTAGCTGAATATTTAGACGCCAACGATGATGCAGTCGTATTTGTGTTAAATGTTGCATTGCTATCATCCTTGCTGAGCGCCGTTATCGCAGCAGCTGTCATTGCTGAAGTCGCAACGGTAGTTGTTGGCAGCGGCGTGGATGACGCGGAGGAATTATTGCCCGTACCCGTGCTGTTAGTTGTTGAGACATTCATATCGGTCATTGACCATTTATTGCGACTCTTCGCTTGCTTCTCAATGGAACTAACTGTAAAGTGTTTAAAGAATATGATTTAATAAAAATAAAAACAAGATAAAACGTGAACTTTAGTTACACCGAAGCTATAATACCCTTCACAAAAAAAGTTTCCATACAAGTACTTGATTTTGGTCGGTCAGTTTGTATAGCATGTTATAATAGTCCGGTCTGAACAATAACTGGAGATTGTAGCACTATCTTGGACAATAATCTATGCCAAATTTTGTAAAGATATCTTGTCAAATAAAAAAGTTTTCTTTACAGAAACTTGATTTTGATTAGTCAGTTTGCTTAGCTGCTATATGCTATAGTGATCCTATCTGAACAATTTGTTCGAGTGTGGTACCATTGATTCGGACAAAAATTTAGATATCTTATTAAATAAAAAAGTTTTTCACACAGAAACTTGATTTTGAATGATTTCGACAAATGAGCAGCTTCTTGGGGATAAAGGACATTGTGCAAAATTTCAAATCGATATCTCAAAAACTGAGGCTTCCTCTATGTAAAGAAGACAGACAGACGAACAAGGCTAAAGCGACTCAGCTCGTCACGCCGATTATTTTTATATACATATCTTATAAAGTCTGTTCAGGGTATAATATTACAAAAGCGACACTTACTGTATGAATCCGGAAAGTCCGCACCCTTCACACGTAAACTAGCGATTTCATCGTCAATTTGCTGATTCACCACCGACTCATTATCGATCACCAATAATATGTTCTCAGGCTTAATATCCGTATGTATAATACTACATTTTGTGTGCAAGTAATCCAAACCCTCCAATACTTGTTTAATAATGTTACGCACTTGACTTATGGCCAAACCCTGATAGTTGTTCTTTACAATCAACTTATATAAACTGCAACCGAGCGCTTCGAACACCAAACAATAATGCTTGCCATTAACGCCACGTATCGTAAAATGATTTAGCAGTCGTACGATACGTTCACGTCGCATATCTAACGGATCTGCATCACGTACAGCTTCGAGTAGACGTATCTCATCGGCAGCCGTTTCGATATAGTGCGGTGCACTCTTTACCACCTTCAATGCAACGTATTTCTCGTCCCTGCAGTTGATAAAAAATATATAGTGAAAAGTGTGAAGCAAAAGCTTAAAATTACTTCGGCGCTTACTTCAGATCTCTGCATAGCCAAACCGTGGAGAAATGGCCCCAACCAAGTTTGCGTACAACACGAAAACGATTGTCAAATATATCGCCAATAATAACTGGATGATAACCGCCACGACAATACTGTAATGGATCCTCTTGTTCCTCTTCCGAACCGTACAAACTGCTATCCGGCGAATCGGGAAAGACATCATCAGTGGTGCTCATGGTGCCACGAGGTTCGGAACTATGTATGTTTAAAAGTTGAAAAAAAGATTTATAAAATTGATGAATTAAATTGTTGTAATTGGAATTTAAATATTTTAAGAGAGAGCTATTCTTAAAGCTATGGCGTAGTGCTTGGGTATAAAGTAGGTGTTTTGAACCAATTCTGTAAAAAAAAAAAAAACAATAATTTGTAAATTGCCTTCACGCCAAGTTTCGTGAGTTAAAAATGTAATCAAAGCAAAACCTTTTCCAATTGAGGACATTCGTTTTAAGGAAAAATATTCGGGGTTAGTCTGCTTTGAGTACTACAACACGAAAAAAGGACAATTTTATAAGTTAAAAGAGAATCTAAGCGGAATCGATTCCGACTGACGATAATCGCTTTCAGAAGAAATTTTTTTATAATAGACGAAGTCCAGGTTCTGCGTTATGACAGTGCTCGGCTTTTCACAATTCAGATTGTATATAGTCTTAAATTTAATATAGAAATAAGGGATTTCTTTTTATGTCTAGCAAAATAGGAATTTAGATCAACATCGATCGATATATAGTAGGGTGGAGCGAAAAAAAATTTGTAGATTATAAAAAAAGAAAATGTTTGGATTTTGGAATTTTTCTTTCGCTCCACCCTAATATATAGTATGTAGAAGCTTTTACATGTTAGAAAAAAGCTCGAAGCTTTGACATTGTTCGGAACCTATTGCAGAACCATTTTTCTAAATTTTGTATTGCCGTAAAATCAGTATTTGAACCCGAAAACATTCGAAGGACAGACGTTTTAGTTATTTATGGTATTAACATATTTGGTTTTGAACCCCAATTGACGAAGAAACTCGTAAGCAAACTACCGCTATCTTACGACGAAGATATCTTAAAATATTCAATGCCTAATAATATGGACTAAACACTATTTGCAAATATATACATAGGTAATAACTTAAAAGCAATCTCACAAAATCGAACACACACACACACATCAGAGCAACAATTTCCGCTTCCGTTTCTGCATCCATCTCTATTTCGTAAGCAGCGCCACCGATGGTCAGTGGCTCCATGCGCACGGGCAAAAAGTTCTCATCCTCATTCGCCAACATATAACTGGCACGTGCTGGTGATGTATTTGGCGGCGTTAAGAGCTCTAGCTGTTGCTGATGTAATAATTGTTGTTGCTTCAGCTCCTCCTTTGCTTCCGCCTTCTTCTGCTTGTGTGCCTTTTTCGAACGTATCGCAATCAAAATGGGACCCGCCGAAACACATTTTCGTTTCTTGGTTATGCGTTTGCGGCGACGCTTTTCCTCAATCTCAAGCATACGCTGATTGGCAGCCTCAAGCGCAGCACGCAACTCTGACGGCGATACAAAATTGAAATCGCAAACTAATTCACGTGTCACAGCGGGTGTTATGCATGTCGTCGGCGTTGTGGGCGTGTCGATTGAGAATGAAACTCTACTCACTGTGGCATCTGCTGCTAGTACTTCAATGCGATTTTCCGCCATTACAAGCGGTACATTCGGCGTAATTGCTACCGTCGTACCCACAATTGTTGTTGTGGCCGTTGGAGTTGCTGGCGCTTTGGTCGATTTTATCCAATGCATGAGAAAAAGGAAGAGCAATAATAAACAAAATTTGATGGCGAACATGAATACTTGATCGTTGACGAGCAATGTAGTCCAGTGAGCTAAGCGCGTGCCATAATCGATACCATAGTCCAGTGTGATTTGGTAGATGTCTTGACAATGCTGCAGTGCTAGGAGCAGCGTAGGCCACATGTGGTGTAGGAGAAGTGTATAATAGTGTGTGTAGAGTGCATGTAGTCGCTTCCAGCGCGGTGCATCTGCTAGTCCACATGTTTCCTGCTCTGGTGAGCGTAGCGCATAGTCGTAAAACTCGACACGTTCGCATGTATCCTGTGTGGTAACCGCGGTGCTGTGTAGAGCATTAAGCAGTTGTTGCAGGTTGAGCGCGACTTTCTGCAGCGTCGTTTGTATGTGATGCATGTTGTTTTTGTTGTCTTTGTTATATTTGTTTTTAGTTTTAAGTACCGTAAGTTAAACTACTTACAACATTTTTTGCATTTAGTTTTTACACCTAAAATGTTGTGCAAAATATTACTTTTAATTCGTAATTCCTGCGTTTTTTAAGGGAGCACAGTGTCTTCACTATTTGCTATAAAATCCTGCTATTTGCTATCTATCTGACCGAGACAACATTGAAATTTTTAAAAAGGTCAGTCTCAAGTCACATCAATGAAATGTGTGAATGGTTAGAAGTATGAAATATCGTACGTCGACTCGGCTATCGCGGAAACTAGGATCAAATACGCCATATAACAATTCTAAAAACAAAAGTAAAGAGTCAAAGTTGTTGTAATCTCTTTAATATCATTCTTAGATCAATCCCTGAAATACAAAAGGACACGAAGCTTGTTGTGCTTCTGAAGTTTGAAGCTATTAGCAGTGTGCATATTTGTCTATATTACTATTTTAACATGTTCGTCTGTCCATTCCAGTCCATTTGGTACTGACTATTCATAAACAATATCTGTTTTGTGAGGACTTTGTTGCGAGAACTTTATTGTAAGAATTTTCTCGAGCTTTCGGAAGAAAGAGACCTTTCTAATACAGAAATATAATAAAAAATAGTTAAATTGGGTGATAACGATTTAGTTGTAATCCCGAAAGCATGGATATCACGAGTTACATGCACATGCTCCATTTGTTTACATTTTTACCAGCTAATGTTATTAAACTCAACAGCACTTTCCAATAAAAAATATGGCAAACCATTTATTTTTATTAAAATATGCCGTTATAGTGCAGTGTGACTTGAAAATTTAATCAAATAACTAATAATATCGACCATAACCTGAATATCGATTTAATTAAGATCGTTCAAACGCAAACAGTTCTATGAGGCAGGAGCCTTACTACCTTGTAAAGTTGTGGCTCATTTTGTTACCTGAACAGGGTATATTAACTTGGCTACAAAGTTTATAAGATCCAAAAGAAAAGTATAAAGTATATATACCTATATACATATTTGAATGATCAGCGTAACAAGTTGAGTCGATTTAGTCGTCTCTGTCTGTATATACGCTTACTATTCCCTCAGATTTGGAGATATCGATGTGAAAATTTGCAGACGTTCTTTTTTCTTTACAAAGCTGCTCATTTGTTGAAACCGCCGATGTCGGACCACTGTAGCATATAGCTGCCATAGAAACTGACCGATCCATATCAAGTTCTTGTATGGAAAACTTTTTTATTTGAAATGATATCCTCACGAATTTTGGCATGAATTATTATTCAGGACAATGCTATAATCTCCAAGCAAATTGTTTAAATCGACCGACCGATCTGACCGATCAAAATCAATATGGAGATATTTGTATACCCTTTATGTCTTAAAAAAATGCACCTATGAATAGTATTGTAGCTTCGGTGAAGCAGAAGTTAACGTTTTTTCTTGGTTTTTTTTTTTTCTTCAATGTCTACAGATTTTCGGCCTTAACCCAAATATGGAATTAATTCTTTCTTTGAGACAGCAGCTTTACTACCGTAAGAAATTGCGGCACATTTGTTAGTTTTCATTTATCTTCAAAATTGCTTTATTATAAAGCATACTTTCTCTAAAAAACTAACAAAAAATTTCTCGAAAAAATATTTTTAAGCCATTTTATTTACTTATGTGAACATATTGTGAGTGTCGAAAAATTTTGTCTGTCGAAAAAAATGTGTTTTGATTTTAAAATCTAAAAATACAGAGTCCAAAACAGTAGCACCATTAGTTCCTAGCGGATGTAACTCTATACAGTATCTCTATAACCAAAATTATAGATTTAGATTAATTCTTATACATTAATTGATACGAATATTTTTTTCTTGTCGTTGCGAAAATAATATAATATTATTGGTTCCAATACCAAAATATTTGCACTCAAAACATAATCGCTATTAATGTATAACCTCTCTACACATAAAATTCTGTTGGAAAAAATTTTAACCACAAAATAGCTATAAGCATGACACTGTGCGCCACATTTCTTTGCCGGTTTTAAGTTAAAAAATTTCCTTGAACATTACATCGATTTGCTTGTATGTGTTAATTAATGTTTATGCGTACACCTCGCGTGCTGCTGTTATTTTTTAGCGCTGCTCGCTACACCATATACATATGTATATATAATGTTTACAGCTATTTTACAATTTCAATTTTCTTTTCCGTATATTTGCGCTTTCACACCTAGCGTATATACTTATATACATATATGTATGTATGTATATTACACATAAGTACTGACATTGACGCTTACGCGACGCGTGCAACGACGCAGTTTATTATTGTTTACGAATGAACTTGCTTATTTTTGTTGCAACAATTCGCATCAAAAACGGCTGCGCTGAAGTTATTATTATTTTAATTGGTTTTGTTCATTATTATTGCAGTTGTTGTAGGTATACATTCGCATTAGTCATAAATAATTGCACAATTTTTTATGGCCATAACTCATGGCACACAGACAAATGTAGCTATAGTTTAATGGTTAATTTAAATTGGTAATATTAATAATACGAGATTATTTTATTTATTTTTTATTAAAATAGCAACATATTTTCTTGATTGTCGTAGTTTGTTTTGGCGAGTTGACGCATTTTCGCAATTAATTTGTATTTAATGTTCGTTATTGCTTGAATTAAATTTTTAATATACTTGTTTAAAAAATTTCGATTTTTTCACCATTGTAAATGCTTTATTTTTTTCGCGTTTCGAAAGTGTCCAAAAAGTCCTGCTTACATAACGTGCGCATTCGAGCGATTTGGCCAACGTTATGTGTACGCGCGCACGACCAAGCACCGAGAATTATGAGAAGTGTTAGCTGTTTTTAATAAAAATACTAATATAAAACTCGCTCGCCGCGCTTTGTTATTGTTTTTCGTCTTTTTTAAATGCTAGCGCTTTGATTTTCACTTTGTCATTGGCTATGTGTAGTGTTTGTTGTTATTTTTTAACGCTAAATTTTACTTTTTATTCTTATTTCACACGTCATTTTGAACAGTTTTTCGTGATTTTTGCTAAAAATGCCGTCAGTTCTAGCCGCACAACGGCAACTGTTTTGCCGTCAGCATTGTCAGCGCGTGAGAGCAGCCACAACACGGCATAAGCGCATGTACATACATATAATATGTATGCCTATATAATATATACAACGTACATATATGCATGTGTGTGCATGCATTTCTATATAATTTGTATAAAAATGAAATCAAGTAGAACAACAAAAACGTATTTGTTGCATACACTTCACAGCGCTTTGTGTAAAAATAGTTGCCCACTGCTGTGACAAAGGCATCGCTGGCATCGTTGGCAAAGAGGCGGCAGGAGCATTCTACATATGCACTCATACACACATATGTGAAAGCAAAAACAGCTGCGCTGCACAAGCACCTCACACCCAACCACAACCACAACACAGCACCCCCCGAATGCGCGAAGTACCCGTTGGCAATACTCGCGTCGGTAGTGTGGCTCAATAGTTGCCCGCGTGCGCTCCGCTTGCAACGTCGTCATCGTTGTCATAGTCACAACTAACTCTGTTGCTACTCACAGCGCATATATCTAATTATATAAATATGTATGTGTGCCGTCATTGTTGGCGTCATCAAACGCCAAACACAGAGGCGGTCCCAATGACAACATAATTCCACAACTTAGTTGACATAGACGATTTTATAGAGAAGAGGGCAAATGCCTTGGCCCACACTAAAACGAATGCCGTTAGCACCCTCTGGCGTTTTGACGGTGTTTAATAGTTTATTTTATATATAAGAGTGTGTATGTTTTTATCATATATTATACATATCTACATATATACGTATATACAGACATATGTGCTTATGCTTGTATATGTATACATATATAATTCCTTTTGACTATTATTTGGAGAGAATTCCCTTGGCTATGCGCCAAACTTGAAAATTCGTTACATTTAGCGCTTATTCATATGTCACTTATGCATACACACATCCATTTCTCCATATATGTATATATATCTCCAAGTGTTTATATAATTTGTATTAAAAATATTTAGTTAGTCAACGTCTCCTCTATATATTCCTCGTCACTTAACTGCATAGTCCACTCAGTATTTTTGAAGTGCTAAAAATTTTGTAACACAGTGTTGCCTTTGTCAGTGACGTTCAAATTGTTTTTTTTTTTTTTGTTTTGGATTTGTAATGTAAATTCATTTATTTACATTGCTGTGTTTGGCGTATATATATTTTTTGGCAGCATTTCAATTAACACTCACGCCACACACCCCCACCACATTGTAGAATAGTTCGCTGTCACTTTTTTAGATTACTATTCTCTCACTTTTGTTACTGCAACGTTTGATTACCTGTCACTTTTAGTGAACCTGTCAGTCAAGCGTGTTCAGATTCGAATGCAAAATCAGATGTGTGGCTTAAAGTCGGAGTATACACTAAGAAAAAGAGCGTAAGTGTGAGTGGAAATATATAGGTATACATATATACAATATATTTCTATATATATTCTATATAATTGTCAGTTAATGATCTGTTTTGTCGAGTTTTTCCTGTAATGTGGCGCGTGCCATGATTATACCATATACACAGTTTGATAAATGTTTTGGTTATGAAACGTGTCAAGGTTAGACTCGTACCAAAAGACTTGAATTATTTGCTGAAAACTACTTTCAATAAAGGTCACAAAAGAATTCTCAACCAGTTTTGAATTCCCTGTGTATTTCGAAAAAATCTGCTAAAAATATGTTTAATACTGTACGTGTTAACCCAAAAGCATATCCTAAGCCTTTTTATCAATTAGATTATGATTTTAATATAACTTCTTCACATGACCATGCACTAAATAAATTTGTAGACAAAATAAATCATTATTGTACATTAACTTGATTGCTTTGTCGGAAAGTTAAGATCTTCATCTATAGCGGATATACCATCTTGTGACATTAGCCCAACGTATAAAGTATTAATAGCGATGTTTGAAAGAAGTCGCAGAATCAAAAAAGAAAAAATACTATTTTAAGAGAGAAGTTGATAAGAATGACTTTAAAAATATACTTCTCTCTAGAAGATTTAAATATGCCTTCAAATACAAACCTTTAATATAATTTTAACTTAACTTGAACCTAACTTAACATAAACTTAGCCTAAACTTAACTTAAACTCTAACATATTTTTTTTTAAACCGAGAAACTTGGTAAAGTGGAAACGGCGAAATTCAGAGCATGTTCCAATATGAAAAACATTGGGCAGCTAATGTGGAAAAAAACAGTTATCTTATAAAATTCACTGCTTTGATGGATAAGGCTTTATTGGTTACCTCTTGGGAGCCCAATGGCCCTATTAATAGCCTAAGGGCGGCCTGGTACCAATCAAGGTCAAGTGTGGATCCTGCCCCTTTAAGAGGCCAAGTTTATTCGAGCTCTTCTTCTAGTTTCTTAATCGTAGTTTCATGCACTACTGACTGGATTATGTAAGCGTCCGTCTTTTAAGATGCCGGCCCTCAAATCCGGAACGTCAGGGTCCTTTTTGAAGACTTTCAGGTTTATATAAATGGAAGGGTTTTATGTATAATAACTGTCACACTTTTGGTCATCGTATTGCTGTATTAGTCTTTGCTAGATTTTAGAACTATTTTACTTTTTAATATTTATAATTTGGCCTTTGGGTTTCAGCTTTTAAATCCCACAATCACATATGACACATCAATTTTAGGGCAACATTTTATACAATATCATATTTTATTACCACCACGCACACATAACCGCTGCATACCCGCTTCACACGCTCCACGCAGGCACAAAATCACATGCATGCAACACATACGTGTAAATTAAGTTTTATGAAAGCATTATGGCATACTCACAGGCTTATGATGCCACGCAACGCCGGCATGTCCCGGCGACGATTCAAAGGCGGCGACATGGACAACGACAAAAACTCCTGCTGTCGGTCCTCATCGATGCTGGTGTTGAAGATGCGCGTCGTCGGCAAGTAGCCAATTTGCTGCAGAAAATCATCACGATACGAGAGTTTCGTCGACGATTGCGACGACGTGAGCGGATAGTGGGTGGAATGCGACATAATGCCCACACCACTACCCCCACCACCGCTAATGTGCCGATCAATGGACGATTGTTTCTGCATGGCGGACGTTGGGTGGTGGAAGTGTGTATGGAAGTGATGATGCGTTAAATAATTACTGTGACCACCAATGCCGCCACCACTGCCAACAGCGACGCCGCTGCTGCTACTGTTAAGTGGCGCAATGATTTTGTCATCGAAACTGCGCCGAAAGCTAAAACCTTTAATTGTGCTGTAATTGCGATGCGTTAGCGGTGTTGTTCCCAAATCGATGGAAGCAGGCCCAAGCAATTTCATGCTGCTCAAATAGTTCGTGGCATTATTGCTGCCACCGCTCATCCCGCTGCTAAGTGGAGTGCTGGCGCTGAGCGCCGGTGAAATGTTACTCAAATGATTATTGCTGCCGGTGAGTAGTGTAAAACCTGGTCCGCTACCACCAACACCACCACCACCGCCGCTAAAACCTACTCCGCCACCACCACTACTACCATAGGTAGAAAGATTACCGGTGATAGGTAGGCGTTGTAACGGACTCAAAGATGATTTCGGTTTGTTGATAATATTGCAATTGCTGTTGTTGCCGCTGGTACCGCCACCACCAAAAATCGACGTTGTAGTTGTGTGACTGGACACTGATATGCCCGCCAGACCATTGCTGAGCGCACAGTAATTGCCGGCAATGATAGGACTACAGCGACCAGCTGCTACCACGCTGCTACTGCTTATCGCTGCGCCGACACTAGCGCTAATCGCAATATTATTTGAGATCGTCGATGTTGGCAAGCTGCATATTATGGTGGGTGGTGGTGAAAGTTGCGAGACCAGCGATGGCGTCGACGACGAAATGCCGCTGTCGCCGCTGCTGCAGAGCGTGCTGCCGATGCCAATGCTGCCCAAGCCGACATTGGTGGCGCTGCTGACGTTAACGCCAACGCCGACGCCGACCGCAACACCGGCGATGCCAGCGCTATGGCAGTGTTGCGGTGACGATGTTGAGGTCGTTGTCTCAATTGTAATGGTATTTGATGTTGACAAAACTACGGGTGGTGCCAGTGTAACGGCACTTTGTTTGTTGTTTTTGTTTTCAACCTTTGTTTTTTTTTTAGCAAATGGATGCTTAGCTTACATATGCTTGTATCTTTTTGTGTCCTATTTATTATTTTTTTTTTTATAATTTTTTCTTTGTCGTTATTGTTGTTTTTTTTCTTTACTTATAACTTTTAAGTGTTGGTTAATTTTGCAATTTGTGTCTTTGTTGCTTTGATCAGTTGTTGGGCTGCGCTTGTTGTACTCGTACTGCTTCCTGGCCTTTCAAGTCTTCAATTTCCGCAATTTGTCTACTTCCTTTTCGGCTTCTGCTTCAGCTTGTTCTTCTTCTTCTGCTGCTGTTTATTTAGCTCACATTAAAATGGTGCCAGTGTTGCCAGCGTTCGATATCCTCCTGCATATGTATGTATGCGCGTGTGTGTCGGCTCGTGCTTGTTTGCTTTGTTGTTGTTGTCTCTTGTCTGTTGCACTGACATGCGGTCTTTTTTGTTGTTTCACTTCGTTTGCTTGCCACCGCATCGGTCAACGCGTTGCCTGCTAACAGCAGCGGGCAACACCACTGCAACTGCAACAACAACAACCACAATAATAATAGCTGCAGCAGCCGAAATGTTGAACCGTTACACATGCCATTGAACTATGCAGCCCTGCCGGCTAACTCTTTAAAAATTATAATTCAATTCCGCAGCCAATTTCAGATTACTCATACGCACTGTTGAACCCACAAACGCTGCATGCAACTTTATTTAATATTCTTGTGCGCTTTGCCCGGTTTCGTACGTTGCCCTATCACAAATAACGACTGGCTGGTTTGCTGTGCTATTTTGTATATATTTTCGTATATATGTCTGTGTTGTGTGTGTGTGTGCACGCTTGTGCCTGAATGCTTGCTAAGTGCCTTGGTGCCTTTGTTCACACGGCAATTGCACTGGCATTTATTTATGTATGTGTGTGTTGTTGTAAGTATGTGTGTGTACTTTCCTTTGCTTATTCACTCGCAACTATAGGTAACTGCGCTGAAACTCCACAAAGTATGCTTTGATAACTTTTTTTCACGTATAAAAATTAGTAAATTCCCTATTAAAATTATTATTATTTTTCATTTTAAAGCTTTTAGCGCTTGTATGCATATACATACATACAAGTATGCTTATTTTTGATGGAAAAGTTTATTTTTATGCGTATGTACGTTAGCACATTGCTTTTAACTGCTTATTTATATGTATGCGTACGTGCTGTGCCACGGTATGTGTATACTTTTGGCTACTTCACATGAAATTTTTCACATTTCACAGCTTTAGCTTCAACTGCATACATTTTTAATGCAACATACACGGCATTAACATTCATTTCACTTTCACGCAATTTCCTTTAGCTTATCAGTTAGTAGTGGATTTTTTTTTTTTACTATTTTAAGGTAGAAAATTTTGCAGTTGGTTAATGATATTTCTTTCAAATAACTTTTTTTCCTTTGGTTAAAAATTTCGCTTGACTAACTTATCGTCGTACATTGTCTACGTCGTCAACTTGCTTTCTGCACTCTGTCTACTCTTATTCAACTCAATTCAGCCCCAGCTCGTTTCATAGTTATCAACACTGCTTCCAAATGTCACTTCCCTTTTGCTACCAACGAAGTTTCCACTCTGTTCTTCATTCCTCCACACGCACAAGCACACGTACATGTACTAACAGCCTTTTGAAATGAGTTCCGCTAGGTTCTCGCCATTGCGCATGATCAATAAATAATGAAAACAAACACCATTTCGCTTGATTTGTTGTTGTGCTTTCTCTCTGTTGTCACTGCACCTTTTGGTCGTGCTATTGTTATTGTTATTGCTGCTAGTTTCATATCTGACACCGCACTTTGTAGCCAAACATCTTTGCGCGCTCCCGCTCCAAATGTACTGCGCCAGAAACTGTCACGGTTGTACGTCGCTCTTTGAACTCCTCACGCTCTGCAAACGTCAATCAACTGGCGCTCAAAACATGCCCTTACCCACGTTGTGGTGGCTACGTGCCGTTCTACTTCCATTTTTCTTTGGCGAGCAGCTGTAAAGCTATGTTGTCAGCGGTCAAACACCTAACACCATTTCTTTTAGAAAATTTTCGTTGTTTTGATTGTTGGCATCAAATGTAGAAAGTTACAGCAACAACTGAAGTTGTATAAAATGGTTTGCTATAGTGCATAGATCCCTAACTAGATCGGAAGTAACTTAAAACATTAACGAAGCCCCATTGATAAGTTAGCACACGCCCAAATCGGTAAATCCCATGTCGGTTGGGTGTAGTTAACTGGAACGGACCTGGCAAGATAAGAGTTTAATGCCTAGATAAGTGGATCCGTGGTACATATTCTTTAAAAATTGTGATCACCAAACTGATCAGACTCTGAACGAGAGTAGCAGATCCTTCAGATACGCTACAAAACAAATTAAAGGAATATCTGGTTAAATCATCAAACTTCTTTGCAAAGTCATATATCGCATCAGAATGCATCAGCTTTTAACACAGATTCCTTTTTAAACGTTTTTAAAGTTAAGGCTTAATTTATTTAGTAAAAGAATATATTTTCCTTCACTTCTCAATCGATTGAAGTACTTCATGAGAAGTAACATTTCATTTAATTTATTTGTTGACGAAGTTATTGTATAAATTTTGAATAAAAATGTTAATCAATTTTAAATATGAATTGTATGTATTTAATTTATTTTTATTATAATTAATTCTTAAAATACAGCACCACCCTAATTATAAGGCACAGAAATTTTATAATTTTTTACAATGCAACCCTGCGTTCATGCAATTATCAACGAATACATGAGCAAAGAATAATTATAAATAGGAAGTGATATACGAAAAGATTGGTATTGCAGGAAATTTTACAAATTTCCAATTAAAAAATGTTTATTATCAAAATTAATTAAGTAGAAAGTATTTAAAACATTAGTACAAATAATAATAAAGTGAACATTTTATTTAAAATACATTCCAAGACTACAAAAGACGACCGCAGCAAGTGCAGTATAGTGAAGTGTAGGTGCGGCGGTCGCGCTTATTGAATTGTTGCAAAAGCAAATTGGAAAAGCAGAGCAGACCGCCACAATGGCACGCCCAATTTATCCAAATCAACAAAAAATAGCTGAGAAGCTAGTGATACTCAACGATCGTGGACTGGGCATATTAACGCGTATTTATAACATCAAAAAAGCATGCGGCGATACTAAATCCAAGCCAGGTTTCCTATCTGATAAATCTCTTGAGTCATCTATCAAATTCATTGTAAAGCGTTTCCCCAATATCGATGTAAAGGGCCTCAATGCAATAGTGAATATAAAAGCGGAGATTATTAAATCGCTTTCCTTGTATTATCACACTTTTGTGGATTTGTTAGATTTTAAAGATAATGTCTGCGAATTGCTTACCACAATGGATGCTTGCCAGATACATTTGGATATTACGCAGAATTTTGAGTTGACAAAACATTATCTGGATTTAGTAGTTACATATGTTTCATTAATGATTCTGTTGTCACGTGTTGATGATCGCAAAGCTGTTTTGGGTCTCTATAATGCAGCCTACGAACTTCAAAATAATCAAGCAGATTCGGGTTTTCCGCGTCTGGGACAAATGATACTTGATTATGAAGTGCCGCTGAAACGTTTATCAGAGGAGTTCATACCGCATCAGCGTTTGCTAACTAATGCACTGCGTTCACTTATCGCAATTTATCCGTTAAGAAATTTGCCAGCTGATAAATGGCGTGAAATGCAAAAACTCAGTTTGGTAGGTAATCCAGCAATATTACTGAAAGCTGTGCGCACCGACACAATGTCCTGTGAATATGTTTCACTTGAAGCAATGGATCGTTGGATAATTTTTGGCCTGCTGTTAAATCATCAGATGCTCGGACAGTATCAGGAAGTAAATAAAATTTGGATATCTGCATTAGAGTCGAGTTGGGTAATAGCATTGTTTCGTGATGAAGTACTGCAAATACATCAATATATACAGAGCACCTTTGACGGCATCAAAGGTTATAGTAAACGCATTGGTGAGGTAAAGGAAGCATATGCTGTGGCAACACAGAAGGCAGCACTGATGCATCGTGAACGGCGTAAGTTTTTGCGCACCGCCTTGAAAGAACTTGCGCTTATAATGACTGATCAGCCGGGCTTGTTGGGACCAAAGGCAATTTTCATATTTATTGGTTTATGCTTGGCGCGCGATGAAATACTATGGCTATTGCGGCATAACGATAATCCACCAGTGACGAAGAATAAAGGTACTACTTTTGTTTAATATTACACAAATATTTTGTTTTTACTCATTTTTTGAAAAACGTTTATACGCAGGTAAATCCAATGAGGACCTTGTTGATCGTCAATTGCCAGAATTACTCTTTCATATGGAGGAACTACGCGCGCTTGTGCGCAAATACAGTCAAGTGATGCAACGCTATTATGTGCAATATCTGTCTGGGTTCGACTCGATCGATCTCAACATACGTATGCAGAGTTTGCAAGTTTGTCCGGAAGACGAAAGTGTCATATTGTCTTCGCTATATAACACCGCTTCAAGTTTGACTGTGAAACAAGTGGAGGATAATGAATTATTTGATTTTCGTGCTTTTCGGCTGGATTGGTTCCGCTTGCAAACTTACATGAGCGTTAGTAAGGCCGCGTTGCGCATAATGGAAAATGTCGAATTGGCACGCTTGCTAGACTCCATGGTTTTCCATACGCGCGTTGTGGACAACTTAGACGAGATACTCGTTGAGACCTCTGATTTGAGTATTTTCTGTTTCTACAACAAAATGTTTGACGACCAATTCCATATGTGTTTGGAATTTCCAGCACAAAATCGTTATATTATTGCATTTCCCTTGATTTGCAGTCACTTTCAGAATTGTACGCATGAAATGTGTCCCGAGGAACGTCATCACATACGCGAGCGTTCGCTTAGTGTGGTTAACATCTTTTTGGAAGAAATGGCCAAAGAAGCCAAAAATATTATAACAACCATATGTGATGAGCAATGCACAATGGCCGATGCGCTATTGCCGAAACACTGTGCCAAAATATTGTCAGTGCAATCAGCGCGCAAAAAGAAGGATAAAGCAAAAAAGCAATTTGACGATATACGTAAACCGGGTGATGAATCGTATCGCAAAACGCGTGAAGACTTGACCACAATGGATAAATTGCATATGGCGCTGACCGAGCTCTGCTTTGCCATAAATTACTGTCCGACCGTCAATGTGTGGGAGTTCGCATTTGCACCGCGCGAATATCTATGCCAAAATTTGGAGCATCGTTTTTCGAGAGATCTCGTCGGCATGGTCATGTTCAATCAGGAGACCATGGAAATTGCAAAACCATCCGAACTCTTAGCCACCGTGCGCGCATACATGAATGTGCTGCAGACCGTAGAAAATTATGTGCATATCGACATAACGCGTGTATTTAACAACTGTCTTTTGCAGCAAACGCAGAATTTAGATTCGCATGGCGAGAAGACCATTGCGGCATTATATAATACATGGTATACTTTTTAATAAATTGATGTTCACAAGTAAAAGCAGTTAATTATATATATTTCACTCTACAGGTACAGCGAGGTTTTAGTGCGTCGTGTCTCATCCGGCAATATAGTGTTCTCCATGAATCAGAAAGCATTTGTGCCCATATCACCCGAAGGTTGGGTACCTTTTAACCCACAAGAATTCTCCGACCTCAATGAATTGCGTTCATTGGCCGAACTTGTCGGCCCTTATGGCATAAAATCGCTAAATGAAACACTCATGTGGCACATTTCCAATCAAGTGCAAGAGCTCAAACAACATGTTGCCTCCAACAAGGACGTGCTCATACTGCTACGCACAAGTTTCGATAAACCCGAGGTAATGAAAGAACAATTCAAACGTTTACACGATGTCGACAGTGTGCTACAACGCATGACGCTCATTGGTGTTATACTTTGTTTCCGCAATTTGGTGCATGAGGCGCTTGTGGATGTGCTTGAGAAGCGTATACCATTCTTACTTAGTTCAGTGCGTGATTTCCAAGAGCATTTGCCTGGTGGCGATCAAATACGGGTCGCTTCCGAAATGGCTTCCGCCGCTGGTTTACCATGTAAAGTCGATCCGACGCTAACCAGCACACTCAAATCGAAAAAACCCGATTTCGACGAAGGCGAACATTTGGTGTCATGTTTGCTCATGGTTTTCGTAGCAGTCTCTATACCGAAATTGGCACGCAACGAAACATCATTTTATCGCGCTTCCATCGATGGTCACTCGAATAATACACACTGTATGGCAGTGGCGATCAATAATATATTCGGCGCACTATTCACCATTTGTGGTGAAAACGATATAGAGGATCGCATGAAAGAGTTCTTGGCGCTGGCAAGCTCTTCGCTATTGCGTTTGGGTCAGGAATCGGACAAGGAGGCTACACGTAATCGCGAATCGGTTTATTTGCTCTTGGATGAGATTGTTAAGCAATCGCCTTTCTTAACGATGGATTTGCTGGAATCTTGTTTCCCATATGTGCTCATACGCAATGCATATCATGCGGTCTACAAGCAGGAACAAATGTTGGGACTTTAAGCGTCGCAAATGTGTAACGAACGAATGTAAGTTAGTTTAAAGAATTGGCGTTAATGTTGGATTAGTAGTTTAAGCAGTTTATAATTGCACAATACTTGCAAGTGACTTGAAAAGTATTTACTCTTTGTCTTTTGCTGTCCACTCTACATTCTATTTCTGCATTTATATGTAATTATAGAATACAATATACAACAATTATATATAAAAAAAAAACATATGTTTAGCAGTAAAGGCATTATTTCCGCTATTTATAACTATCTATATATATATATATAAACATACTAAAATAAAGTATTAAAACTTTCGTAGAAACGTTTTTTTTTATTTCTTTTTTGAAACTCGCGAATTTTTGTCTTGTAATGATTTTAACATTTATTTAACATCATTAACTTCGCTACACCAAAGCTTTAATACCCTTCACAATTAAAAAAAAATTCCATACAAAAACTTGATTCTGATCAGTCAGTTTGTATGAGAGCTACATTTGTCCGGTATATACAGAGAGACAGACGAACATAGCTAAATCGACTCAGCTCTTGAAGTTGATCATTTATATATTTTTTATAGTGTCTCTGACGTTTCCTTTTTGGTGTTACTTAAAATACCCAGTGTATAAAAATTATCGTTATTGTTGTTGAGCAGCATAACAGCAGTAATTTTACCATTATTTTTAAAATATTTTTTTATTGCCAGTTTTTAATTAACAAAAAATAACAACCACGTGTCAAATAAAATACTTGCAACTTAAAACTAAAAAAATTAAATTATTTATGGCTTATTAATTTGGTGTGAACGTACATATGTATGTATATAAGTGAAATATAAATTTAAACGTAAAAAATAAAACAGGTTTGCTAAATGCGCACACAAGTGACATAATATGTTAAAAAAATACTTTCAATATTATAATCAATCCGAAAATGACATAATATGTTAAAAAAAAATTTCAAAATTATAACAAATTCGAAAAAGTCTCACACTATATAAATATGTATTTTTGACTGTCAATCAAGTGCCGTTTCACGTTTTGCTAAAATATGATTGGTACACAATACCCAATGCTGAGGAGGTGAAAAGTGTAAAATAACTCCACCAGCTGGCAAAGCCTAGAAAACCTTTGTATACGTCGGCATTGAAAACCTGTTAAATATATATATCGCATGAGATAATAGTACATACAAATATATCGCATGACATTTTTGCTTACATTTTTTAAACTGATCCACTGCGCATGTATAGCATTTGCAGATTCTAAAATATTGAAATCCTCGCCATGAATATGTTCACCGCTATCAGACGCCGGCATGCTGCTCAATATTGTTGTGGCAACTGGCGGCAAAGGTGTCGTATTTGCAAACTCCACTTCACTTTCGATCAATGGCGCCTCGCTTAACGGACACATATCTGTGCAAATGCTGCTGCTGTTGCTACTTTTTAATATGCCAGCCCAGGTGAATTCACCTAAACTTTTGTACATCAATGTGAGATATAAGCATAGCAAGAGCGGTGCAGCGAATTGCAATGTGACCACGCAGAGGTAGTAAAATATGGAGGAAATCTATGTTAAAAAAATAATTAATTAATAACAGTAATTATGTTTAGCTATGCGTGTTTATGCCTTCTTCTGATATTCCACATTTGTAATGCGACCGGCTTCCTTGCGTAAATCCACAATTTTGTCATGCGCCAAATTCAAATAGGATTGCAAATATATCGGTATTAAGGCGAAACGCAGTAAAACTACTAAAACGACAATAATCAGGCGCATTGTTTCAAAAGCCTCCACTGAAAGTCTAAAAATATAATTGAAAATTACAACTTAATATATAATTCTTATGATTTTTTAAACATACAAAGGTCCCTGCATGCCCTCGAATACACGCTCAGTCAGATAATCTCTGCTTATTGGTCTGATCCAGAGAATTATCAGCAGCAAAGGCAAGATAAAACTGATGTTGAGTAGTAATTGTAAAGTTTTGCGCCCGCTGCAGTATATCAAAGAGTCCCAATGCATTTTTGCCATGCGTAAGCCTGGGAAGGTGAAAATTGCACCTAAAAGGCCACAACAAACTGCCATGCAGAGCTTCACAATCAGCTTTGATGCGGGACCACTAAAAATATAACATACTAATAATAAAATATGTTATACCATATACAAAGTTAAAATAAATCACTCACGATGACGGCAACCCCTGCGCCGTAAGGAACTGTGAAGCGCTCGCGTTAAAGCTACTATATGCATGCTCCAGCCCCGTCTCAAGGTGCCGTTCATCAATGATAAGCACAATCATAGCAATAAGTAGATAAACTAGGCAGGCGACTATGACCATGGAACGTTCACCGATCGATTCTTCATTTTGAAAATACAACCATGTAAGTGACGACAGTAGTTTGCTAAGTAACATAAAAGTTTTATTATTATTGTAAAAATATTAAAAGCAAATCATACTAACAGCGAAAAGAAGACAACCAACAGGCACCAAATCATGCTTAGGTTGAACTCATTTTTCAGTGGAAAATAGTAGTGATAGATCTGAAAAAAATAAGCAATATAACTAATTTAGCATGCAGAAAAAAAATATTTTTCCAATACCTCTGATAAAATATACACAACTGCTGCATAAGCGCTGAAATCGACCAACCACTGGTATTCGGTGTAATATCTGAGATGCACAACATCACGTGCCACCACTGGTGTCGTCTCCAGTTGCACTTCTAAGTTACGTGGTATATGAAATTGTCCTGTGCCATTTCGTGTCTCATATCCCTTATTTCCTTTGCCGCCACCTTTCGTGTGCTTCTCTTTTGGCACACCAGCTAGCGTACGCAGCTCATCGTCCGAAGGATGTAAATATCTATAAAGGCCTGTAGCGCATAATAACCACTTGGCGAAGGAAAAATGTGGACTTATCTTTTGTATAACACTCAACGTTAAAAGTGTAAGCACTAATTGTGCACCGAGCACTGCCTGGAAAAATATAATTAGAGTGAAGAGTATAGAGCAGGTCGTTGTTACTTAAATGCATCCCAATAAAGTATGCTAGCAATGCTAGAGTGCTATCAATCTATTTTTGGCATCATTTTCATAAATCTTTCTTGCATATTGCGCAAAAATGTGCGTTCCACTTAGGTAGGTGACAATTTGAAATCTATAATATATACTACAACTATGGAATAAATCTTCCATATATTTTTATCACTTATGTACACACCATTTTTTACTCTTGTTTCTTGTAGCTTTATGTTAAAGGTTACATTCACTAATTAATACATAATTAAAGTGTTAATTAGAAACGGAAACTGTGCTACTTAACAAGTAAAATGATTAAAATATATTGAAGTAACTATTTCTTCGGCCGGGCAAAATGACACAAAAATAAAACAATGACAGCTTATTCAGAATGAGCGATACCGTGATATTTGGCAACAAGCTTGACATTTTTTAGTTAGTGAAAATATATGATGTATTAATATATTGTAATTTTTTTTTGTTTTTTGTTTTGTAAATTTTGTTTAATTGTTATTTATTGTGAATTTTGAATAAAGAAATATTTGGAAATTTAATATTTGCTTTTAAATCCATTGTGATTGTCATTAGCTGGTAACGAAAGAACTGACATTTCTTATCAGCAATGCAGTAAATCAATACAGCTGTTTCCTAGCTTATAAGAAATCGCAATTGCAATTAAATTGGAATTTCTGATAATAAATAAAGTAAATGGAAGTAAATCCAATAGCAGTGCTGCTCGTCTATATGGACAGCAAAGGAGACCGTCTCTTATTTCGTTATCCTTATGAAAATGTGTACAAAGGTAAATAAATAGCAAGCATTTGTCAACTAATTCACACCCTCAAATAATTTTTTTTTCGTTTTTATATAGATAAGACCCCGATGCATAGTATGCCCTTGGCGGCATCTGCGCCGGTACTGAACAATCTACCCCTGGTTGATGTAGCGATGAGCAGTTCAACGACATCGCTGGTGTCACAAGTTTCTTCCGATACCAGTAGAAAACGCAATCCATACGCCATTAGCAGCAGCGATGAGCTATTGCAAACGGCACCACCGCCAAATATTGCACCCGCCAATGTGTTTGGTGTTTGCAATAGTTTGTGTAATACAGTGCCCAAAGGTCAATTGGAAGGTTTCACCGATGAAGTGCTCTCAACGCTATTTGCAGTAAAACAACAATTGTGCAATCAAAAACTAGAATTAAAAGTAAATGATGTGCGTTTTGTGTCGCATCCAACATTAATACCGCGCAATGAACACCGCAACAACGCGGCCAATACAAGTAATGCTTCAAACACCTCCAACACATCTTTACCACTTGCGGCGACAACAACGGTTACAAACGCTGCTATCGGTACTGCAACCATTGCAACACCTTTGCCGCAGCCGAAATCGCAACCACAACAAATGCTTATAAATGTTGTGTTCGCTTTGCATGCGCAGGCCAGTTATTCCATAGTGAAATGCTATTACGAACTAAGCAAGCGTCTCGGTTTAGCGTTACGTTTCGAAGAACAACGTGCCAGCTACTGTACCGAAGAGACAATGCTTATGGCACGCACACATGATGAACTCTCTTCACAACAGCAACCATTGGAGCGCACATTTGATGCCATCACGGAGCGTTGTACTCTAGCGCAAGCGCTCAAATCAATCTATCATGATCTATGCACTACCGGCTTACTGAATACAACGTTAAATCAATACTTAACGGTAAGTTTTTGTTTACCGCAAAAAGCGCACCAGTTACACAAAAAAGGTAGTATGGTCGATCCTGAGGTTATAGATCGTTGTTTGCGTTCCTTAAAACCCTATCACGGCATGTTGCTTGTTGACTATGCGGAACTGCTGGACTGTGTACCACCGCGTGCTGCGCGCATGCTACTACAACTAGTGGAGATCTACACACCGCTAATGAGTTTACAAATGCTTGCATCAGAAGCGGACATGAGCATTGAACATGTTTACAAAATGGTCTCACATCTGGTTTATTGGGGTAAAGCCACTATAATCTATCCGCTTTGTGAAACGAATGTTTATGTTATTGCGCCTGATGCGCCACTACATACAAAATCACATTTAGTTGAGAAATTCTCAGCGCGTTTTGCTGGTATGTCACTTTTCGATGCGATTGCACACTTTTCACTGCCCACATCCATTGGTCATCTCACCACACCGCTGCAGCAATCGGCGCGTCAGGGTATGCTCGCACAAATGGTTGTCTGGATGTTGCAACATCACTTACTAATGCAATTGCACACATATGTACAATTTATGCCGAGTGATTTAGACGATTTCTATGGCGGCGTGAGTACTATGAATGTGGCGGGCAGCGATTGTTCAGCATGTAGTGATGGCGCAAATGAACACAAGTCATCGCTAATGGACTTACAAGAGGGTACAAATACAAATAGTTCAATTGGTGTGGGCGTTACGGGTGAACTGTTGATATCACCATTGAGTCGTAGCATGAATGTGAGCGATGACGAACTGTAAGTGTTGCGTCAATAAAATGTTTATATGATTTAAAAAATTTTAATACTTAACACAGCAATGCCGGCTCCTTGCTGTCCTGCGCCAGTCAACCACTGCCAGTGCCGCATACTAGCCATCGCTCGATTACTGAAGATCGCTATTCGGGCGGCTGTTCAACAGCATCAGATAATATTGTCGCACAACCATCCTCTAGTCACAAGTCAAATTATAGGTAAGTGGCGCGTTATTATTTTACACTCAAGAGAGTATATACAGTTTGCCACGAAGTTTGTTACACCCAGAAGAAAACGTCGGAGACCCTATAAAATATATATAGAAATGATCAGCATGATGAGTTGAGTCGATTTAGCCATGTCCGTCGGTCTGTAAAGACGCGAACTAGTGCTTCAGTTTTTGAGATATCGATCTGAAATTTTCCCACACGTCCCTTCGATATCGCACCATATAGCATATAGCTGCCATACAAACTAGTCGATCAAAATCCACTTCTTGTACAGAAAACAATTTTTTTTTAATTAAGCTGTATTTTTTCACATAACATATTTATTTACATATACACACAGCATGACTGCCTCCATAAGCACAGAGAATTGTGACAGTATCGCCTCCATCGAAGATGAGGAAAGAATTAAAGAGCTACTATCGGTGTTCAATGACGCCGATCGTGCAGCCATAAGACGTATACCCGCATCAACGAACATCGATGATCTCTCGTTGCTGGTGAAACTCTATCAGGCGGGTTATTTTAAGAGCGAACATCACCTCGAAGAGATTATGTACTTCCAAAGCCTACGTCCGGCTGAACTTTTACAGCTATTGGATAAATTTCGTGATGTGCTAATCATATATGAGACTGAGGACCCTGCCATTGCATCGATGTACAATAATAAGTGAAGCAAGCACCACAAGGCGCTAGTGAACGGACATGCCGTGTGTGCTAAAAGTGCCTTAATTGTGTGCAAAAGTGCGAAGCATTCCAGAACGCAAAAACGCTATTTTTTGTTTAGATTTAAGCTTTAATGTTTGTCATATTTTTTCTTCGCTAGAAAGGTGTATAAAGTGAAATACTACAATCATTTATTTTTTTCTATCTTTATTTTTTTTTGCTTATTAAAACTAGCGGTTTCTTTCATTTGTATTTTTTTTTAAGTTGTATAATTGTTTTCTACTACAATACAAGTGTTAAATTTTAATTAATTTTTATTTCTGTTTTGTTTTCACTTACAAGGAAGGGACGACACAACGTTTACAGTGGAGTATATATATTGCTACGTACGTTTGGTTTTTTCTTTAACTTTCATTTGTTTAAATTATGTTTACATACATTTAGAGTTTTAAGTTTAAGTGTTGCTTAAAATTTCTAACTTACATACACATATAATATATATATATATATATATATATATATATATATAATTATTATCAGCAAAACAAACAATCAGATATAAGAATTAACGATTGCAATTGTTAGTGTTGTATTTGTTTTAGTTAATTGTGGTAGAAATTGTAGCGGTTTGCGTTAAAAAAAAATATTTTACGTTTACTATTGTTGCACATTTAAATACGTACATAATATATATAGTGTGTGTATGTGTGTGTACTAAAAGTTGCCATTCTCGTATAACTATTAACTAAAGTTAACAAAGAGATATGTTTTTAAATAAATAATTGCTATTTTCTAAGATTTTTATTTTATTTTATGCTGTCAAGTGTTTGCGTTACTACTTTTTTTAATATTATTTTGCATGAAAAGTTTTACGATACGTGTTTCTTTCTCTTGCATGTTTAGTTTTGAAAAATACGTTTTTTTTTAACTGCGCATCATATATCTGCATGTGTTTGTTTGTTGGTTCGCCCTTCTTGTTTACAAATTGTTCTTATGCCATTTGCGTTTTTTTCTGCTTAAATTTAACCCATTTGCTGCAACGTCTTTACTTTTCTAAACAGTCAGTTTTTTGTTGCTGTTGTTGTTATTTTGAAAAATTTTTTGCCACCAATACAAAAAAGTATCAACTTTAAAACTACGCGACATTTCCAATTCCCCACAATTAGTTAATCGCCGTATTCGCCGTGCGTTCAATAAAAACGAATCACGTTGCATTGTTGTTGTCGCCGTTACTCTCGTGGAAATTCGTGCCATTTACGATGAAGGATGTGCCAAGTCCATAGAGATGGCCACAATATTTCGCATTGTCGATATTGTCCTCGAAGAACATCTGAAAGTGGGAAAAAATAAAAGAAAAAACATGAAGAGCGTTATTTGAGCAGAAGAGAGGGAAGGTAAAATGATTATTTGTATACTAAATTATATAAAATATCTAAGAAATAAATTTTAATATAAAATATATAGCTCTGTGGTAATGAATTTTGCTATAATCGTGAAGAAAATATTATAATCATTATAGTAAGTTGTTATAAACTAACAACTGGAATAATAAGAGAAAAGGACAAATGCAAAATATTACTCAATGCAATACAAACATAGTAAAAAATTAAATTTTACAAAAATTACATTTTCAAATGGTTTCAGACATAAGAATTAAAAAACAAAATTAGTAATTAAAAACTCAAATAACTAAAAAAAAATATTTATAGTTATTTCTTTTTGTATACAAAACAAAAATACGCTTAAAATATTAAGCGCACTCGAAGAAAATAAAATGCACACAAAAAAAATAAAATTAAAAAAAATAATATAAATTAAGTGCATAGTATTTTTATATTTTTAACATTTTTTTTGTTTTTTTTTTTAATAAAAAAACTTTGAAATTTGATTATAAAAGTTTTGAATAAATTTCCACAACTAAGCTTAACACTCTCAGGTACAATCTCATAAAATAAACGACATGTATACGAAACATTCCTTTGGAAAAATTAAAAAAAAAACATATTAAAATAATACAAAAACCAAAATGCAAATTTAACTTAAAAACAAAAAAATTATACATTTAAAAAAAAACAATACAAATTAAGAAAAAAAAACATATACAAATTACGAAAAAAAAATACAAATTAAGAAAAAAAACAAATATAAATTAAGAATAAAACAACTACATATTAAGAAAAAAATACAAATTAAAAAAAAAAGTTAAAAAACAATAAAAAA